ATGCCTCGTTGTTCGGACGTGCCTCGGAAACAGGAGCGTTGGTGGCAGCTTCAACAAGTCGGAAGAGCTGATCTTCGGGGGTGAAAAGTTTGGCGTCAACCTCCTTGAGAAGTGTAAAATGCCGAACAAGTTCTTTTGGGAGCGCAGTAATGGCATCGGCAAAGTGTGTAATCGCAGGGAAAATGTCGATGGGCTGCTCGGCACCGCCGATTGAGTCTCTGCCAGCACCACCAGAACGACCCAAGTTCGCGATGCTTCGCGGAGGGTTCGTACGAGTCTGACGGACGGGCTGCGACCGGCGGTGCGACGAGTTCTCCGTCGCGGGCGCCTTGGCCGACTTCATGGTGGAAAACGCGAAAGAGTAGAGAGGACTGAGGCGGCTCGGTCGATCAGTTCGAGATTAGACGGCGGGACGAAGCTGGTGGCAGAAAGTTTGGATCAAGAGAGAGATATGATGTGAATGGCAAGTAAATAGGCAAGTAACAGTTGGTATAGGCCAGGTAGAAACAAAAGGCTATGTCATTTTGCGCTCTGGTGCCATAAGTGGTGAGAAGAATCTGTGTATAATGAGGAGGGGAGAAAAGAGAGCACGCGTAGTAGCAGAAACGAAAGCGGGATGGGATATGGATGGCTGTCTGTCTTCCACTCCCCTTCGATTTTGGAGACTCAACGCTGCGAATGCCGCGGCGCCCACTGTACACCCTGTAACTTTAGAGACGTACAGCGACTCACAGGACCCGACCCGCAGACCCGGAGAAACCAGCCCCCGATGACGGAGTATCCTTATCGAAAATGGCACATGCGACTGAAATCAATGTTGACTTTTGACCAGATTAGTCTCTAAGTTAGCAATTACGTCAAATTCAGCTACGATGCCTTTGTTTTCTTTCACTATTTCAATTCCATGTTTGAATCTAATGTTCAAGCCTTTAGCGGTTAATCAGATATGGATCACGGAGGAATGTCCTACACCGCGTGGGGTATCAATATCGATAGCCATTTCGTCATAACCTCACATCCATCAGTTGATTAGAGACACTGTTTACAAAGAGCTAGGAATTGAACCAGTATAGAACCAACGCAAACAAGCTTATTTTGTACAAACTAGGATAATGGCATGATGAGCGTATTAAAGTCTATCGCTCACTAACCCCAGCAAGACTAACACCAAAATCTTCAAATTTCACACGCCTTTCTCAACCATCCCAAGACCGCTTTATCATGATCGAAAGCTGTTTGGGTTTTCTACTCAACCAGGGTATCGCTGCCACCAGAATCAAATCACGCTGTAACAGAAGAAGGCCGAACCACCGCCTCGTCGCGATCCTTCTGCTTTTGCCTCCATTGCCACTCCAGCAATATCCAGATGAAGTCCTTGAGGTCGAAGTCGGGCCACAAAGTATCGATAAAGAAGATCTGTGTATCTTGATGGCATTGCCAGAGCATGAAGTCGCTGAGGCGTTCCACTCCACTGGTTCGCACAAAGATATCTAGGGGCGGGTCGTTTGCAGTGTACATGTGCTTGTCCAAGGTCTCGGCTGTAATTGTTTCAGGGTTTGGTAAGCCCGAAAGGCTGGCAGCGCTGTTTCTTGCGCGCAGACGAGGAGGAGGAGAGTCAGGTTGCAGTGTAGGCGATGAGGAATCGCCATCGCTGTCCTTCTTGGCATCATCTCCATCTAATGGTTCGACCTCTTCGGGGAGGACATCGGGGATTGTAGGTAGTCCCTCACGACCATCCAGCTGGCGCGAAAGGATCTTCTGTCGGATTCGAGATGGGGAGAAGGGTGTGCTTCGAGGAGGTGTGGGAGCGAGAAATTCTTGCACTGTTGATTTTACGGCGGTTGTGATCTCGGCTCGCGAGGTGTATGGGAAGCAAATGTTCAGAACGGCCCTGGATACGCGTTAGCAATCGGTTCGCACCTCCGGATACAATGAACTGACTTGTTGTTGTGCTTGGTTCTCGCGACAGCCTTATCGACTACTTCAAGAACATCGCTTCGGATCATCTCGCGCTGGCCCAAGACGCGCACACGGGCGCCGTAACGATCAAGGATATGGCCATATTTTGTCAGTTGCTCCAGCTTGATCTTGGCCAGCTCCATCAGACCCTCGACCTCATATTTTGGTCGATTGAAGTTTTCAATACTGAAGGCATACACAGTCACGACCTTGACTCCGGACTTGTAGCAGATTTCCATAATCTAGATATTGCATGTCAGCACGTCGCGCAATTGCTGGATCGCAGATAACATACCCTAGCCAGCGCCTCGAAACCTCGGTGATGTCCCTCTACGGTCTCCATTCTGTGGTTTCGAGCATATCGTCGGTTGCCGTCCATCTCAAAAGATACATGTTGAGGGATGGGACCTTGCTTAAGGGCGCCAATGAGAAGCTCGCGAAGCTGGCGCATAGCCCATTCTCCGGGAGGAGATTCGACAATTACCCTCCGGAGAAATGATGATATAGCATCAGACATTGTATTTGTTTTGTGTTCCGAGGTTTCAGTTTGGAGAATAATCGAGAAGGAAAAAAGTCGGGTGGAATAGTGAACGTGTTATCGAGTGTCGCTAGCTTAATTCAGATGTATGTATAACTTAGGCGGTATGAGACGGAATTCGGAATTCGAGAAGAGTTTATGAAAATGGTATAACTGAGAACCGGCTTTAATAATTGATATGGAAAAACGATCGCCAGATGGCAAATAAACGAAGGTGACGACGAATTGACAAGACAGCCACGAAGCCTATGGTGGCGGAGTAGACATCTGACGATGGGGATGAGGCTTGTTGAGGCGAGGCGTAGGTTGGCTACGTTGGAACAGGTTGGCACAAGCTTGGCGGTGTTTGAAGCAGGGCACCTCAGCTTTTCTGTACCTGCGACGAGTGAGCTTCTTAGGTGCCACAGGGATGGTCCTGGTCCAATGATTTCTCTCTCGACACAGGTGGCTTAACGTCATTTTCAGGAACAGGCGCTGTGTCGTTTATAATGGCACAGCTGACTGGGCATGTTTACCACAAGCCTATTGCAATTAACCATGGCGTGAGGTTTAACAAGGATCGGGATGTTCGGGAGAAGTCATCATGAGTTGAGTGATTCAGCCCCTAGCAGGGGATCATGGGAGATCATGTTAGTGGACTGTCTACCCTGGAACATCAGGATTGATTTTGATGCTTTTCCGAAATTGAGCTTTTTCTTTCATGTGATCGATCGCAGTTGTCTTCGGGAATGAATATTTAAAATTATGTTTGGTTCCATCGTAAATGCTGATCAGGCTGGCATTGTGGCTTTGAAGTCTGTCAAAAGACACAACGATTATCAAGTACTTGACCTCTTTATACTCTCAGTTAGTATAGTGCTTGGCTTTCTGTATAGAAGCATAGACACTGAGCTTTTGTACGCTTATTTACTCCGTACTCGCTTCATATATAGCCTGCCGTGACGTCTCGAGCTCTCGATACAGGGTATTCGTAGGTAACACAAAGCAGTGTTAGTAACGCAACACATGGAAATTTATAATTAAACCTAATAAACTTGGGTTGCAATGTTTGTTTTCGACCTGTCCGTAAGATATTCATCTATAATCCCTTACTAGTTTGGGGATTGACATGATGAGTCTAGTATCTTAAAGCAAGCTTCTCCCTTGGTTGGTGTTCGGAACAACTCATCAATCTAATATCCTTCTGCTAAGTTATTCTTCTCACCAGGCTCTATCATGTTTCGTTGGACCTCTTCATATTGAGTATATAATCGTTCATAGCAAACAGTTTGGATATAATTGTTATGACTTTGTATAAAAGTTCAACTAGAACCACTCGTACATAATTTGAGCTTTCAAATGCCGTCTCAACGTTATTTTTCGTTATTATTATGATATGATCCATATCGATGGCAGGGAATGGATCTCCAACACCCTCGCATCTGCAGCTGGGCAACACGTATGTATGGGGCACAAGTTTGGAGTAGACAAGGATAAGACAAGAGAGAATCCTGACCTTCCCCAGCCAAGATTTCCCCAGCTGGGTAAACCGAAAAACTCTATCCACATCCTAATGGTATCTCTTGATTTTGTGGATTTTATCGATTTTCCTTGACTCGAGTTTACCAAAAATAGGACTTGTCATATTCTGTTTTTATGAAAGGGCATGGTCCAGAACCTTGATTCTGACAACAGCGCTCAACTTTTTCTTCTTCTTTTTTTTTTCCCTCACTAGAGATACGTCATTACCGCATTGAAAAACCTCAGAAAGCTTTTTAGCGTTGCGGATTAGGTACTATGAGACGCCACCATGCATACGCCATGCTTCACCGGCATGTAAAAGCTGTCTCTGTGGTGAACGCTTCATGACTCTCGTATAAGAGAAATGATGTGTAACATGACAAGATTGTTTCTCACTTGTGTATCATTCAGTGTTTCTCTTGTTGGCAGAGCATTCTCAGAGCAGACAAGACTGTAATGCTCTTATCCAACTGTAAGCCCGCCGAGTGATGGCCGATGATGGTGTTCTTGGTGGAGTTGAAGAGCCATGTCCATGTCTGGCCGCCTGTTGCTAACCGTAGAGTTCAATGTCACTCTACTGCAAGAGCTGGTAGGTCTAGTACCAATTCAGAGACAAATATCCATGTTTGGAGAACAGCGGAGGATATGCAGCGGCCGCTGATACAATCGGTTGGCCAGCGATCCCCGTTGAACCATGTGCCATGTGCTATCCTTGGGTTATCAGTAAAACCAGGAACAAAAAATCAACTTCAACAAGACAGGAGGAAGCCACAACAGACAACAAGACAGCTAAACTAGCTCAAGCCTCAGGCACAACCGAAACTATCATTCTTGATCCTACACACCATCGTCGATCCCGTGTGTCTGTTTGTCTCGCCTTTTTGGTAACGTGTAGGCTAAGGACCAGTAGCTAACGTTGAGAGCTGTTTTTCTTACTTGGTCTCTTTTCTTCTAACCTCTCACCTCCTCTTCCTCTTCCTCCTCTTCTCTTCATCTCCTCCTCACCAGAGGAGACTCACCTACAATCTTGAAGCTTCTGGTCATCGTCTTTTCATCTTTTACTTTGTTATTCTTCCCCTCTCCGCTTCCCCACACGCTCCAATTGACCTCATCATCCCCCACCAAAGTAAACCGTTGCTACCCCTCGTCGATCGTCGCCCGTGCTTCCCGCCCCTCGTTGAGCTCTCGTTGAGCTTCATTCTGAGCCATGGTTGTTCATGACGGTCACGAATACCTCACTGAGGAAGAGAGACGTCTCAAGGAGGATCGCGATCGCACCAAGTACTGGAAGAAATGGGGTCCTTACGTTGCTGAGAGACAATGGGCTACAGGCATGTGATTCTGACAGTGGTCAACCAGGACCAGTCATGATAAGTCAATTGCTAACCAACGCAAAGTCCGAGAGGATTATAGTCACGATGGAGACGCTTGGAGTCGTAAGTCACCTTTTTTAATGGCGCATTGCGTCCCCGATACTAACAAGTTACGTCAGACTTCCCTCACGACCACGCTCGATCGCGCGCATTTCGTTGGGGCGAAGACGGTATCGCTGGTGTCTGCGATACTCACGGCTATCAAAACATTGGCTTCAGCTTCTGGAACGAGGAAGAGTTAGTCACTTATAACTATCTCATATACTCCCCATGATTGCTAATAACTCTTCAGTGAATTCCTCAAGGAGCGTCTCTTTGGTCTCTCAAATCCCCAGGGCAACCATGGCGAAAGTGTAAAAGAGGCTCACTTCCACGTCGATAACACTCCTGTCAGTCAGACTCGTATCGTACTCTCACTCAATTGGCCTGCTAACGATTCAATTAGACTGTAATTCACCCGCTTTCTCAAACTCACTCTAAGCTGACCAGTCATGATAGCACTCGTACATGAAATTCCTTTACAAATATCCACAGAAAAAGTTCCCTTATAAAGATCTGATCGACGAAAACGCTCGACGAGGAAAGGAAGATAAGGAATACCAGATCACCGATACCGGCGTCTTTGACGAAGACAGATACTGGGACATCTTCATTGAGACTGCGAAAGAGACCGATGACCCCGATGAGATCCTCTTTCGAGTCACTGCCTGGAACCGTGGCCCCGACCCTGCGCCTCTCCACATCATTCCCCAGGTTTGGTTCCGCAACACTTGGAGCTGGGGCCGTGAGCCAGAGGAGAAGAAGCCTTCAATTAAATACGTCGACGAGAATGTGGCCAAGTCCAACCACTGGAGCCTGGGAGAGCGACACTTCCTGTGCTCCCCCTCGCCCGGTGTTGGCTCCAGCGGCGACGATGTGATGCCCCAATTCATGTTCACTGAAAACGATACCAACTTCAAGGCCCTCTACGACCAAAAGAACAAGCAACCCTATGTCAAGGATGCGTTCCACCGATACATCGTCGACGGAGAGAAGGAGGCTGTTAACCCTGCCAAGACTGGCACAAAATGTGCTGCATGGTTCAACTTTAACGAAGACGGCGGTGTTAACCCTGGCGAATGTGCTGGTAAGAACACTCGATTTGGAACTACAAAACTTGCGACTAACTCCTGATCTAGTTGTTCGATTCCGCTTCACCAGGAGAGACGATAGCTACCTCGACGAGGAAGACTTCGACGATGTTATTGAGAGCCGCAAGGAGGAGGCCGACGAGTTCTACTACAGACTCAGTCCTCTTCCCATGGCAGATGACTTGCGCAACATTCAGCGACAAGCTTTCTCCGGCATGATGTGGACTAAGCAGCATTATCACTTCATCTGGGACCACTGGGCGAATGGGGATCCTACTATGCCACCTCCCCCAGCTTCCCGGAAAGACATCAGAAACTCGGCCTGGAAACATATGCACTGTGATGATATTTTATCCATGCCCGATTCATGGGAGTATCCTTTCTTTGCTGCTTGGGATAGTGCCTTTCACTGTATTCCATTGGCAATGATTGACCCCGACTTTGCCAAGAAGCAGCTTGATTTGTTCACTCGAGAGTGGTACTGTCATCCCAACGGACAGTTGCCAGCGTAAGTGACTTGCTCTGCTCGAACCCTGGGAAAATTTGTGTTAACATGTCTCCAGATATGAATGGAACTTTGGTGATGTGAATCCCCCAGTTCATGCCTGGGCGACTTTCAGGACGTTCAAGATTGAGCGTAAGATGTATGGTCGTCAGGACTTGGATTTCCTAGAGCGCGTATTCCAGAAGCTACTCCTTAATTTCACCTGGTGGGTGAATCGTAAGGATGCCGATGGCAAGAACGTGTTCGAAGGAGGTTTCTTGGGTCTGGACAACATTGGCTTGTTCAACCGCTCAGAGCCTCTTCCCACTGGCGGTGTCCTAGAGCAAGCCGACAGTACTGGATGGATGGCGTTCTACTGTCTTTCTATGCTTAACATTGCTCTTGAGCTGGCCAAGCATCGCCGAATTTACGAGGATATCGCATCCAAGTTCTTCGAGCACTTCATCTTCATTAGTGATGCGATGACCTTCAGAACCGGCCACAAGGACGAAAAGTCTCTGTGGAATGAGGAGGATGGCTTCTACTATGATGCTATCTCCTGGGGTGGCCCATGGATCCAGCAGCTGCCCGTACGATCGCTTGTGGGCTTGATCCCTCTTTATGCGACCATTACTCTGGAACCAGAGTTGATCAATAGACTCCCTTCTTTCAAGAAGAGAGTTGACTGGTTCATCGAGAACCGATGCGATCTGGCTGAGAGAAACATGGCCAGTATCCGAAAGCGAGGTAAGGGCAACCGTATTCTGTTGTCCATCGTAAGCAAGGACCGATTGGAGAAGATCCTCAAGCGCATGCTCGACGAAGACGAGTTCTTCAGTGACCACGGTATTCGCTCCCTCTCCAAGTTTCACAAGGAGAACCCATTCTCCATGGACGTCAACGGTCAGAAGTTCTGTGTCGGATACGTGCCGGGCGACTCAGATAGTGGTCTGTTTGGCGGCAACAGTAACTGGAGAGGTCCTATTTGGCTCTGTGTCAACTTCCTGCTCGTGGAATCACTGCAACGGTTCTTCCTCTTCTACGGACCAGACTTCCAGGTCGAGTGTCCGACTGGTAGCGGTGACTACATGCACCTGGGCAAGGTATCTGAAGAGATTCAGCACCGTTTGCAGCACCTTTTCGCCCGTACTGATGACGGAAGACGCAGCATCAACGGTGGCGATGATCGTCTTGACTTTGATGAGCACTGGAAGGATTACCTTTGGTTCCACGAGTTCTTTGATGGTGATAATGGTCGTGGTTTGGGAGCTACTCACCAATGTGGATGGACTGGACTGATTGCTCGCATGATTCACGATACTGGGTATGTTTTGAGTAATCTTTTAGTACTGAACATGTTTGCTAATATCTATAGCGTCAACTGCCGTCTCCCTCATACTCCTCGCACGCCTTCAATTGCCATGAGTCACTACTTTGACGACATCTTCCATCGAAGCGTCGACACGGGTGTTCCTCACTCTGGCATGCCTCGCATCAGGCGGTCGTCCACAGCTCGGTCAATTGGTGCCCGCAGTGACTTTGACGATGACACCCGCTCTGTGACTAACTCCATCTATCACGATGATCCTGATCGAGCTAGGGAGCGCACTGAAGCCGATGCTCACATGCACAGCTACGTCTCTGAGCAGCTTGAGAGGTACAAAGATGATAAGAAGCAGAACTATGAGCATGATGATGAGTTCGAGACTAAAGCATAGGAGGCTTGCACGGTTACTGTGTGAATGGAAAGATTGGCGCTTTCAAGAGGAGGAAATAAGTAATTGGGCGTTTTCAAAAGCAGGCCTTGTCAATTGTGCCGTGTTCTGGAGTAGCAAGGTATCCTGAGTTTATGGGCTTAGACATATCATTCAGCAACCCAAGTAGTCATGATACAGTAGAGGTCCTCCTCTTTCATATTGTTTTATCTGTGATGAAAATCCAATGACATCACATCATGACAACATGTCGTAAACACGTTAAAATCACTGAAATCAGTTGTTTGATTTGAGTGAAGATATCGATTCTGTGTGAGCGTGTCTTCCGGCAAGTCAGACATATTCACCATTGGTTACAACAGATAGACAAACAAACTGAAAGTCATCACGCCGAACAAAAAGAATTCAATTGGGGAACTGCTTTATTGCACGCCCTGTTCACACCCTCCTACACTGTTCTTTCCATCGACGCTCTCCCCATTCTTCTCCCCTAGCCCGGGGATACAACAGCAATTGGGCTCGGAGGACTTAAAAAAGAAACAGGCGGAAGAGCAGCCCCAGAAGCCGGCGGGCAACCCGCTTAGAGCTAGTTTTGCGTGGTAACGGATCCCACGAGACGAGGCAAAGGAGATACTAATAGAGTTTGTATACTATGGTGGTGGTTTTACAGAGAGTCCGTGAGGAGCTTGTTCATCTTGGCGATGCGGGAAGAGACGCTGAGGTCGATGGTTCGGTCGCCAATCTCAACGACGAGTCCGCCAATAATCTCGGGGTTAACCTAAGGGAGAGGGTTAGGAGTTTAGTCGTGGTTATGGCATGATTTAGACATACCTCGTTGGTGACCTTGAGCTTCTGGCCCTGGCCGACGTAGGCAGACTTGGAGACAGCAGTCTCCAATCGGTTGAGAGTTCGCTTGTCAAGAGCCTAGAGGCAACAATATTAGTTCATTGTCCTTTGTGTTCCATGCCATGATATCCTTCTGCTCATCCATCCTTGTCGTATCCCCAGTATAGATTTGCTGTGACGTAGCTTCCACTTCCAACCCATGTCGATTGATATATGCCCAAACGTACCTGAGCGCTAGTAACAGTGAGCTCAACCTCTCCGCGGGCGGCAGAGATGATGGAAGAGAACTTCTCAACAACACCGGGGATGAGTCCAAGTCGGTTGTTCTCGGCGAGGGTGGCGAGGAAGTTCTTGACGGTCTCGTCCTTGGTGTTGATCTGCTTCTCGAGCTCCTGGACGATGGCCTTCTTGTCGGCCACGGTGAGGGTAGGGGCGGACAGGACAGCGCCGAGCTTGGGGTCCTTCTCGATGAGAGCGCCGAGCCTGTTCAGGGCATCGGCAGCTGCGTCGATGCTCGAGGTCTTAACGGCGGCAGTGTACTAAATTGACGCAAAAGAAAAAATTGCGTGTCAGCGACGATGCGATTCCAATTGAGGTTTCTGTGGCATGACGAGGGGAGTGCAATTGGCCCACCGAGCCAATTGGCACATGAAAGGTTCGAGGTACAATATTTTCTTCATTGTAGGTGGTGCTTTATTACCAGAGCAGTAGCATATGTGCCATCAACGCCGAAGACGGAAATCGGGGGCTTGACTTCGGTCGAGGCAGCGGCAGCGAAGGATCGGACGGGGGCGGCTCGGAGGGCGAGGGCTCGCTGAGGAGCGGCGACTCGGGCGGCGCGGAGGACCTGTCGCGAGAACATGACGGCGGCTGCTTTGACGAGGAGGAGGGAGATGAGGAGAAGGGTGTTGATGGTTGATGTTCGGCTTCGATTCACTTGGAGGTTGTTGCTAGACTGGGGTCTCGGCAATTTTCGGGCGCTCGATGCCTTACGTCCGTTCCAGGCATCCACTTTCTGATTACATAACTCAATATCAAATATCATGTATCAAACGTTTGCAACTCTTGGCTTTTCAGTTTCTACCAGAGAAGGTCAATCGGTTCATGAAATACTAAAAGAAAAACTTGTTGTTTCCTCAGGACTAATTCTTGTTAACGCACATGCAAGTTACTATAGTGCGGAACCCCAATGGCGCGGAACGACTAACAACATGCTCCCTACCAATCATGATCATACAGCCAAACAGCTTCTTACACTCTAGAACCTTTCCTCAAACGCCCAAAACTCCCAGTTGCTAAGTTTCAGTACCTGTACCAGTTCCTTCACTCTCAAACATCTCCTAGTCGCTCTTGAGCATGCTGTCCACCAGATCACCAAGAGGACCCCAGTAATCTCTGCCACTCGCCAGGCCGTGCTCATCAACAAACAGCACGTACTGCTTGAAGCTTGTGTTTAGGTGCGGCTCAAGACCAAGCTCGCGAATCACGGGGTAGTGGTGGCAGTAGATGTGTGCATATACACGGTACATGCGTTTGAAGATCTGACGAACCAGTGCTGGGAATGATTTGGGGAAGGGTACGCCTGGTAACTATTAGTGTAAGTTCCCGAGACTATGAAATGATCCAATGCCTACCGATCTTGCTGGGCAAGACTTGTTCGTTGTCAATGTTCGCCTGCACCCATGACATGAGTTGCTCGATGTATGCTGGCGCAGGCATCTTGGTTGGACGCTTGTAGTTCTCATTGTCTTGCCACAAATACTCGAACCTAGTTCTGTCAGCTTCCGAGTTGTCCCTGGCTTAAAGAATCTTACTCATCTGTAGCCTTCATTTCAGGGCATGACTGTGGTGAGCAGAACTCGGTAATGGCACCGTAGAGAAGGTTGATCTGGTTATAGAAGTCCACCACTGAGCCATCAAATTAGCCACGTCTCCTCACAATGCGCAACCTCGTAACTCACTGTTGACAGCTAGCCATTCATTCTCGTCCTCGCCTTCTGGAAGCTTGACAACCTTGCGCAAGCTGCCACCACCAAGCGTCACCTCAGCATATTGTCGTAACTGGTAACTGGCCGAGCCGCCCTTGCCCACGCGCGGGCGGAATTGGTTCCTCGTCCGCTGGTTACTATTCACCAAAGTTCCCGGGTTAGCAAGTGTCAATTCATCCACGAACATCAGAGGTTCCCCTGATAGCGAGACGGGTATAATGGTCGTTTCCAACTGCTGCATCGTCAAGAGCGACTTCGGGTTCAAGTATCGAAACATGCTGGCGGTGTGCGGCGACGAACACGGGGACTCCATGATTGTGGTGTTTGGGAATAATTTAGAGAGACTAACACGGTAGTTAAGAAGGCTTGAGCCATTGTGAGCGGCGATATCGACGAGGTCTCAAAAGGTCGAGTTGCGATGCTATTGCATTCCAGCGGTTAGCGGGGCAATCAATCATGGGCTATAGTGAGGGGAGACAAACAAGGCTGGGTAATGAGACAGATACCTCCAATCTTTCGTGTGAATAATTAGATGCGATATTTGCAGAAGCGTAACTGCTAGGATGGTGTTTTGTGTATTGTTTTGGTAAAGGGGTTGCGGCTGAACCTTATTGTTGAGGGTGATAGGGCAAAGGTGCAATAGGTAAGGTTGAGTTGTACGTTATCGATGGCGTAGGACGGTTGCACTGTTTACTCTATTTCCTGATTGGTTTGGTTGCTACGGAGCCTGGTCATCCCACGAACCCCACCATCAGCTTTAAGCTTGATACCTGTCTAGCCCGTGCATTTGGCGATTAAATCTACGCCTCACAGCTACTCAAACCTTGATTATTATCACTATGTATTTTGGCTTTTGAAGAGGGGTTGCCGGTAGTCGAATTCAGGTTAGAATTCTCTAAAACATGTGCGGTGTTCAATGGCGGTGCTACTGAGGCAGATGATTGTAGATGGGCGCCAATATCCTTAGTTGGCTTCTTATGAAAGATTAGGGATGGCTGTGCTCTAATTTTTGTAATTGTATAAGCCCATTCATCTATAGAAACTTCAGTTCCATCACCATCTTCCTCCACGGCCTCGCCCTTGCACCCTCCCTCGTCCTCTACCGCCTCCACGACCTCTGCCACGACCAGATCCTCTTCCACCACCAGAGAACCGTTGATCAGTTTTGGGTGGCCCCTGTGCTTTCCTCTGTCGCCTTTCTGCATCTGTGGCATCCCATATATTTGTAAGTCCCATAAGCTCACAGAAGGCCGTAGTCTGAGGACTAGTGTACTCTTCTGGCTGCTCGTTGACGATCTCAGGAGCACCTGGGACGTGAGGTGGTGCTGTGATCTCAAAGTTGTGAGGAACATCTAGCTTTCCACTCTTGACAACATTTTCCTCGACCCATTCTCTCTCTTTTTCAATGAGAGGTAGATAATGCTCTTCCCCAAGATCGGGAGGCGTCTGCACATTTCGGTCACCAATAACCAAGGAGTCATGGAAGACACGAGTAATTGCAAGCCATTCTGGGTCGTATTGCAACCTCCAGCGAGGTGATTCCTGGGACGGGGGGTACTCGGAACTCGTCTCTGGCTTGAAAGGTTGAATCTCGCACAGTTGTAAATAGTGTCTATGCCCTTCGCACTTGTCTAGAGCTAGAAACCGAACCTCTTTGTTCGTGATCTCAGGAGATACTGGTTGACCTGGTGTTTTCTTTGGTTGAGGGCGAGCAAACGAGGCTGGAAGCTGTGCCCTTAGCTCATCCGGCACTTCATTTGACGCTTCTGGAGCTTCCTTCGTCTCAGCCTCGCTCTTCTTGACTTCTGGGACAGGTTCAGCCTTGGGACCCTCATCATCATCGTCATCCATATCCAGATCTATTTCGTCAGGATTGGTCTCGGCAGCTGGAGCTTGAGCAGGCGCAGGCATAGCAACGGGATCTTCTTTGCTCTCTTGGGCCACAGATTCGGCGTCTTTGTATACCTTGACCGCAGCGAACTTGACGTGCATGTGAGCCGAAAACCAGTAAGGAGGCCGCAGACGGTCCATGACATACTCAGCTGCTACATTGCCAAGGGTACCATCTATAGACTCCTGTTTAAAGAAAGGCTTCTTTTTGAAGAGTTCTGCATGATCACCATGCCACTCAACTGCGCGTGGCCAGTCGTGACTGAGACCGACGTCCACCTGAGTCCGTACTTGAAGCATTTTTCGAACGTCGAATTCTCGAATATGGTACCATGACTTGACGTCATCACCGCTGAACGGAAGTCTCTCGTGATGCGGCTTTCGGTAGTCAAATCCCTTCCAGATACCAGACAATCCAGCGATGCGTAGTGGGCCGAAGCGCAAGATATTGGCAGCACCCATGTAGTAGATATTGGGTGCTACCCACCCTCCATAGTAGAGCTCCCAGAGATGTGAACTGGCTTCGTGGTTTCCAGCAATGAATATTGTTAGATAGGGTGCTTTTTGTTCGCCAGAGTAGTACTTTGGAAAATCTCCTAGCCGTCGGTACTTGACAGGGCAAGACATGATGCTCAAATCTGCAGCATTTCGAACAGACTGCGACGCGGCGTGAGCAAACTAATGGAACAGACATTGAAGCTGAAGGTGAACTGAAAATACCTGAAAATCGCCTCCGATGATGAGAATATCGACACCATCCCACCCACGCTGCTTACAAGATTCTTCCACTGAGGCGTAGATTGCATCTAACGTTCCGTGGCCCTTGATTTGTTAATGCCAGGTCGATTGCTCTATTCGCTGAGAAAACTCACACATCCTTCTATTGCAACTCGGACGCCCTGCGTCTCGAAAGTGTTTGCAGCCATTTTGCGTGCTGATGTGAAATTATAGTTGTAGGTGGAAAGCTGAGGCTGAGTGGGCTCACAAACAGAAGCTGGTTTCCTTTATGGGAAGCAGCGCTGCTTACAGCGATAGCACTAAGCGCAGGGCCATTTAGTCCCACGATTTTCCTGCCTAAACAGTGACTCAAGTGGTCAAATCAGACAAACGTGTATATCACATAAGCTTAAGCCTTCAAAGTCATTTTATTCCTATTCAGGGCATGGCAGCGCTGCCAATTGGTGCTGGGTCTCCACCATGCTGACATGTAGTTGAAGAGCCACGAAGCACAAGGATACCCAGTCTCTTGATGTGAGTCTGTGAATTGAGGTCAAGTCTTTGCTTCGGGCAGTGACCATTGAGTAGCAATGCTTGATCATGAGTCAACATATCCTTGTCTTTCATGCCGCAAGCATCTGGTTAGGTGATTCTTATATACGATGGACTTGCTTCACTTGCCTTCTTATGGGATGACTCCGAGAGTGCATGAAGTACAGAATACTGATGACATACATTGAAAAGTCTCATACAAAACAATTCTACAATCAAGAAATGTTGCCCTTCAGAAAAAGCGAAAGCTCAATGCGTCAACTGAGTCACGCAGAGTGAGAGGGTTACTTTAATCTTCCATCTCTAATAGACGTTCGACCCACGGAGGAGTGAAGAGAAGAACGCATATGCTGAAATGGTGACAAGTCACGATTGAGTATGTTGGCATTGGAATAATGAAACTAGATCATGTTTTGGTTCGACATGTATCAAACCGTCTCTAGTGTAAGTTCATTACCATTATTCGTAAGAACAAAGACAAACTGTGAAGTCTGGAAGAGAGCTGCATAAGACCGACTGAACTTTACCATACCAACTCCAAAACGCCGTCATCAAATACTGAAATCAGGGCATGCATTTCATGCCCATATCTGAGTAAAGATCTCGTAGCTTCTCACTTCATGCCCATATTTGCCCTGAATGAGATCAGTATCGAAGCACTCTTTTGTAGCAATGCATGGCTGGGCTGCATACTGGTCCAGGCCCAGGTAATCTGCCGCGGCCAACAATTCGAGGCAGAGCTCGACCGGGATCTCCATGTCGGGAACATCCTCGCTGTTACGGTAGCGGTACCAGTAGTGGAAGTATTCGACAACCTTATCAAGGACCATGGCGCTGTTGATAGAATCATCATCAGCGTCTAGCTCTTCCAGGGTTGAGATGGTTCAGCAGAGACAAAGCACGACCAGGCTTGGTGTGCGTGTGGTCAGGTCAAGTGTAGTGAGTAATCATGTAGCCCAACTGAGAGATCTCGGTTGTTCTGTCTGGAAAGCATGATAAAGTGTCATCAATCCACGGAGCAGGCCATCTGGAGAAGATGGCATGTCGATGATATCAACCTACCTCATCTCTTGGAAGACACAACGGGCCTCTTTGGCTTCAGCGAACTGACTTCTCACGTCGAGCATGCCTTTGATGATTGGACTGACAAGAGCAGCGTCGCGTAGAACAACAAACTCGAAGCCATCGCCAGAAACGAGAGTGATGTATTTGCTGGGAGTCTTCAGGTCCATGACTGAATGTTCTTTGCTGCGTTGTTGACAACTTTACAAAAGGAAGGAAAGGAAAGGCGGGAGGAAGAGAGAAAGGAATTTGTTGAGGAGAGAGAAAGAAATAGGCAGAGACTGAATGGATACCTATGGAGCAAACACGCGCTAGGACCGTGTCGTGAACAAAGAAGTGAGAAAGTGAGTGACCTTGGCTTGGAAATTTTCTCGTGAGCAAGCACGTGCACGGACCAATCATCTCCGTCATTTTCAGCTCCGATGCATGAAGTAACCCCCCGGATAGAGATAGCAGTTGCCCCGTCAACATGTTTACTCGGGTAACTTGGTGGTGCAACAAAGCCACACTTGAGACTTGACTCCCCATAGTCCTTCCACTCTTCGGTCTTGAAGCGACTAAGTTTAAACTTGCAGCAAACAAACAACTCAAACCCAACTCAAATCAACACAAGCAAAAGAGCTCTACAAGAAATCATCTTTCAAAGGAACCTTTTAGCACAAACATCTCAACTCAATTAGGGCCATAACCGTTTTCCTCTTCGCCTTATCTCGTCCTCGCCCTCCTCCACATCACTCTTCTCCCCGTTTGCTCCATCGCATTAAACGCTCGATTGATTTGTCTCTCTTCACCCCGCATCATTACGAGCACTATACAGCCGAACATTCTTCATTCCTCATAAGCGCATTCTCAAGGCGATCTCTATCAAAGGCCAAGCAATACTCAAAAAGACTCGCGCTTGAGCCTGCACTCCCGACCCTACAGCACAGCCTTGCGCCCAAGCATGGCATCATCGCATCAGTATCGTACTTCGTACTTTGACACCAACGAGCAGATCCGACGTCAACAGCGCACGCGCTCCAGTGAGGGTACCGTCAGCACCACTATGAGCTCGTCGACGGGCCGCGAGTCGGCAGCGACTCATGTCACAGAAGCGCCCACCTTTTCCAAGAAGATTGTTGTTGTCGGCGATGGTGGTTGCGGCAAGACTTGCTTGCTCATCAGCTACAGCCAAGGTTACTTCCCAGAGGTAAGCAAATCTCCCTGGCTACTCTCCGTGTACCGACACTAACAATCAAAGAAATATGTGCCTACTGTCTTTGAAAACTACATCACCTATCCTATCCACTCAGCCACTGGTAAGACTGTGGAACTTGCATTGTGGGATACAGCCGGCCAAGAGGAATATGACCGTCTCCGACCGCTCTCATACCCTGAGACCGACTTGATCTTTGTGTGCTTCGCCATCGACTGTCCGAACTCGCTAGACAACGTTCTTGATAAGGTATGACCATGCCCCTTTCTTAGCGTACGTTACGCTAATCACCCCTTTGTAGTGGTACCCTGAGGTTCTACACTTCTGCCCATACACTCCTCTGGTTCTTGTTGGTCTCAAGTCAGATCTTCGCTACAAGAAGACCTGCATTGATATGCTCAAGACGCAAGGTCTTACTCCAGTCACTACGGAGCAGGGCATGACTGTCGCCAAGAAGATGAGCGCGCAGTACATGGAGTGCAGTAGCAAGGAAATGTCAGGCGTAGACGAGATTTTTGAGCAGGCTATCAACACTGTCGTCGCCAATGATCGGAAAACCATCGAGGCAGCAGCAGCCTCAGGTTCTTCCAAGGAGAGCAAGTCATCAACACCTGGGGTGGGACAGATTAAGAGGAAGAAGAGAAGGTGTCCAATCCTCTAAAGGCGCTCACGGCCAGAGATGAATGAAAGATTGTTTTCTTGGATTGAGGAACTTTTCTACTCATCATTGTCTTGCAAAGCCTCCCTTGTCATCTTCTCCTGGGGAGGGGAGGCCAGGAGGGGCACAGAAAGAAAAGGCAGCTCGATGGGCCAGCATTAAAAGAGTTGTAATGACCATCGCATGAACATTGTTTTTTTATAACGATTCACATTTACGTTATTTCTTTACCTTCATTGCTGTTTTAACACTGATAGGAACCCACTCGTGGTAGGTAAACAGGCCCGAAGAGAGGACATCGCAGGCGTTCACCTACATAGGAGATGTATCTTTGAGGCATAGGGGGAATATAGTTCGGGATCGAAAGTATGGCATGGCATGGGAGGAAGCGCGCGCATTTGTATTTTGTTTTTGTTTCTGGAAGTGACTTATGAGATAGGGGAGCGACTAGAGTTGCAGGCTGTTTTTATATGTATCCTACCATTGGCACCAGGCAAGTTGAGGTCCCGGGTGTTTTGATGGCCTTCCCTTTGTTAGTGTTTTGGCGCGGTTGTACTGAGTTGATAGGATTGCTGGAATCAAAGTTTACAACTAAATGAGTATATTGCCGTGACTGAGGTGTATGTTATTGATGACTCTTGTAGTAGATATGTGAGTTAAATCTGAGCTAACTGAATAAACGATTTATACTCTTGAATGCGAACGTCGACTTTGGAACTCTAATAAATAAATCCTTGCCACAACGGTACCGGCTGAGAATAATAGTCAATTGAGAAGCCTCAGTCTTTCTGGGCTTATCTATGATCATATTGTAAACACCTTTTGCACAGGTTTGCTTCACATATTTCATCATCATAGCTGAGTTACCAGCTTAGGTATTCATTTCTACTCTGGAAATCATGGATCATGACCTGGAAAGACCCTCTTAGGTCGACTATACCACCCAGTTGCCCTCCTGTTATACACGTACGTCTTGTTATTTATGTACAAATGTCCCAACTCTTTTGAAACTTTTCTCCTTTCCAAGCATCTGTAACCATCATACAAGTTGAAATGACCATCATGAGGGGAGCATTATACATAGAGCCAACGCCAACCGATATAACCTCGTCTAAAAATACACGCAAGATGCGATTGAGTATGGAGATGTCATCAAAACACATATCTCCGTCATTATGGAAGAGCGACGTGGTTATTTGTTCTTGACAACACCGACCTTGGCGGCGCGCAGCACCCGGCCGTTAAGCTTGAAGCCCTTCTGTTGAACGAAGAAAACAGTGCCGTCCTCCTTATCGGGCTGGGGAGTCATGAAAGTTGCCTCTTGCTCGTTGGGGTTGAACTTCTCGCCCTCGGGGTTAAGTCGCTCGAGGCCGTGTTTCTTGAGGGTGTTCATGAGGATATCTTCAGTCATCTTGAGACCCTCATACAGGTTGGCGAGATCCTCAAGGCCCTCAGGTCGGTCTGGGGCGTTGAGCTTATCCTTGGGAACCATTCCAAGGGCGCGGTCGAGGTTGTCGACGCTATCGACGAGATCCTTGGCGAACTTTTGGATGGCAAAATCTTTGGCGGCCTTGACCTCACGTGTGGTGCGTTCTTGGAGGTTGCGGAAATCGGCGACGGTGCGCATGCACTTATCCTACAACAGAGTCAGTGTTCCCATGTCGAATTGTACATTTCAATTATCACAAACCTTCCAGTCCTTAACCTCGTTCTCCTTGGCTGCGAGCTCCTTCTTGAGCTCCGCGAGGGGATCGCTCTCTTTCTCGCCTTCAGCGGGCTTCTCCTCCGTTTTGGCCTCCTCAACAGGCTTGGCCTCAGTCTCCTTAGCGTCACTGTACCATCTTGACACGGCAGGCTGAACGGATCTGAGAGTGAAGCCGGGCGCAGCCTGGAATTGCAACTGAATGAAAGGTCGGGGGACGGCGACCTTGGGAGCAGCTCGCAAAGCGCGGGATGAGGTAGCAATGGCCTGGCGGAACATTGTGAGATATGTGAGGAATTAACTTATAGATTTTGGTAGGAACAAAGTATATGACGAGGAAAAGTCAACAGAGATAGGCTGATGCACTTAAGTAAGTGTACAGTGGCTGTGGTGGGTAGGTATCAGGAAGTTTGGAAGCTCCGAGTTAGGACTGAAATTTTAGCTGTCGGCATGATTGATTCGCTTCGCATTTAGAAGGGTCGCGCCGGCTTCTCTTCCGGGGACGGGAAGCTTCCATTCAGCGGACAATAGCAGGGCAAGGGCCACATCTAGGTCAGATACGTACCTAAAAGTATGCGCGGATCAACAAAAACCCGCCAATGCATCACTGATCCAATCCAATTGCTGGGCTGCTTCCTTGAGGCTGTAGGGTCCACTCTTTTACTGGCCTACGTCGTGCTCTGGCAACCTGGAGGCTAAAGATAGGTAGCTGTTCGCTATGCTATTGCTTCAACATACCTCCAACTAAACAACTTCAAGATAACGACCACTACCCTTCAGCGCCCCAGCGTCTCGTCTCCGCCTCAATAGCGCATAATCTATCACCCACGATCATATCTAACGACACGCGCAAACACATCCTTCACAATGGCGGCGGCCGAATCGGCGAGGGTCCAGGAAGCGCAGAAGCTCGCCAAGTCTGACCCTCGAAAGGCTGAGGCCATCTACAAGGACATCATCTCCAAGGCTCCCAGCACTACATCCGATGCTGCTACTCGCGAATACGAGACTGCTCTGATTAGCTTAGGAGAGTTGTACCGAGACGAGAAGTGCGCGCTCTTCAACACCGCTGTTCCTGTGCCCCGCTAACAAATACAACAGGAACACCCAAGAGTTGGTGAGCCTGGTCAAGGAGAGCAGAACGGTTTTCTCTTCATTCGCAAAGGCCAAGTCATCAAAGCTTGGTATGTTCTCAGAGCCACACAATCTTGCCTCGAAGAGTAACAGCTAGCTAACGTGGTGACGTAGTCCGCCAACTGCTCGATCTCATCAAGGAAATCCCCGATAGCACCGATATCGAAATCTCCGTCACCAAGGATTGTATAGAATGGGCCACCGCCGAGCGCCGCGCGTTTCAGCGACAGGACCTCGAGGTCCGCCTTGTCGCTCTCCAGATGGCAAAGCAATCCTACTACGAAGCCCTCGGTCTCATTAACAACCTTCTCCGCGAGCTCAAGCGTCTCGACGACAAGCTCCGACTCGTCGAAGTCCAGCTCCTCGAGTCGAGAGTTTACCACGCCCTTGGCAACATTCCCAAGTCCCGTGCCGCTCTGACCAGTGCACGAACAAGCGCCGCCAGCGTATATACCCCTCCGATGCTACAGGCTAACCTCGACATGCAGAGCGGTATGCTTCATGCTGAGGACAAGGACTTCAACACCGCTTTCTCTTACTTCATTGAAGCCCTCGATGGCTACCACTCTCAAGATGAGAGCACCCGAGCTCAGGCTGCTCTGCAGTACATGCTTCTTTGCAAGATCATGCTCAACCTCGTTGACGATGTCAACAACCTAATGACTTCCAAGCAAGCCCTGAAGTACGCTGGCAAGAACCTAGAGGCCATGAAGGCCATTGCTCGCGCACACTCGAATCGATCACTGGAGGAGTACGAGCGAGCACTTTCTTCTTACAGATATGAGCTCGGCAGCGACGCTTTTATCCGCAACCACCTTCGCCGTCTCTACGATGCAATGCTGGAGCAGAACCTCATCAAAGTCATTGAGCCTTTCTCACGCGTCGAAATCGACCACATTGCCAAGATGGTTGGTCTCGACACTCAGCAGGTTGAGCGAAAACTGTCACAGATGATCCTGGACAAGGTTATTATTGGTGTTTTGGACCAGGGTGCTGGTTGTCTCATCATCTTTGACGAGACGCACCGAGATGAGTCCTATGATGCGGCTCTGGCAACAATTGAGAAACTGAGCAGTGTGGTGGATGTACTTTACACAAACCAAGCTTCCATGCTGGAATAGATTAGCAATGAGAGGCACATCACTTGTTGTATGTAATATATCACACGCTTTTAGACCAGGCGTTTCAAGAGAGAACAGAATCGTCTATGCTGCTGAGTGGCGCATACATGTATTCATTTGCTTGCACAACCGTGTATGAATCGAATAACCAAAACTATATAGATGCTGGTGCTCCCAACAGACTGTGCTGTAAGACAGGGGTATGTAATTATATGCAAAGAAAGCATGAAGGACACAACAAGCGGTATCTGGTATCTCCAAACAACAATAACAGCCACCTACTCATGAAACAGAACGCCTCATGAAATGCTAACTATGCCATATTCGTAAATCTATGCAAAAACCAAACAGTGTATAAAAACAGCCATCTTTCATGTCGTTTAGTGAAACATAACTCGCGCTGGTTTACCAGCTCCTCGACTCCTCTTCTCTTCGCCCAGAATTAGGGCGAATAATCTTTTGACTAGTGCAGCCTCATCCCAACCGCCGACTTGTGCTTTGAAAGCGTCGACGCAGTCCAAGTGCCAACGCTCCAGCGTCATAGACTCGCCTTGACTTGCGACCGTCTTTCCAAGATATTGATCTGAATAGCGTTCAAAATGAAGCCTGAATGGGCCCTGACGCCGCTGTTGAAGAAGAGCATCCAAGAGCAGCCAGTGTCTTCGTGTCCAGACCGTTTGTGAGAGGGGTTCAAGGTGGGTTTGTTTTGTTGGGAGTTTCTCGTTAGATATAGGGATTTGCGGGATGGTGTTATTCTCCTTGTTGGCAGTTTGCTGTGGTGGTGGTCTTACACGAGGACGCTGGGCACCTGTGCTTGACTGAGATGCTGCTGAGGAGTTGGAAAGTCGACGTTGGTGTCGAACCTTGGCTTGCTCGATGGGAGAGAGGACACTGCTGGTAAACTCAACCACACGGCCAGGAGTATGAGGTTTGAGTGGCGAGCGAAGACTTGATTTGATTGGGGAAGCGTTCTTGGGAGGTAATGGTCGGAGAAGAGGGCGAGCTGGGGGTCGCTCAGGGGAATCTTCACTTGCATTAGATGTTTGCTGCTGCCACTTCTGAATGTCGGCGTGAGTGAGCTGCATCCTTGGTGGAGTGGTGGCACTACTACTCAGGATAGGGCCAGGGCCAGGGGCAGCAGGGGCAGCAGTCTGAGTTGAAGCCTTGAAGAAACTCTGACTAGGAGTTCTCCGCTGCGGAGTAAAGTTCATCTTCTGGGACACTGAAGGCAGTTGTTCAGATAGTTGATCTTCGCCTTCTTCTTCAAGTATCTCTGTGCCCTCCTCGTCAAGCTCTTCCTGCTGTTCGCTCTCATCATTTCGTTGATCAGATATTTCCTGCATAGAGGCTTCGTGCTCTTCTTGTCTTGGAGATGCGGTTGCCTGTCGACCTGACAATGACATGTTGGACCTTGAATCTGATCGAGAATATTCGTCGTTTTCAGGTTCTTCAGACGGACCTCGCCTTGCCAGGGACTGGGCAGGGCGAATAGGAGAGAAGAAGCCTGCCCTTGGTTGTCCTCGAGGTACAAGCTCCTGTTGTGGCAACTGTGGGAACATGGAGCTTGTCGGTAGTATGCGATCAGTCTCCGTCGGCTCAGGCTCGGTCTCACTGGGTCGCGCTCCAAAGACGGACATCTTCTTAAGAGGAGAGAGCTTGTCAGCCAGCATGCCTGGAATCGCGGCCGGAGAAGAGAAGAAACTCGAGAGGTCGAACCGATTCGCTTTTGCGGTAGCAGGAGCTTTATTGGATTCTTGAGGAACCTCCCTTTGAGTAACAAGAGAATACTCCTCTGCTTGGGATGGCTCATTTTGCGCAACCTCCATGTCATCAGGTTGAGGCGCGGTGTCTTCTTCCAGGTGTTCTTCATTCTCTTCCAGTTCATTCCTTGTCTGATGTGCAGCCGTTGGAGGCCGTTGCGTTCCCCTGTTAGCCTGCCTCCTCCAAGGGCTCGGGAGATTGCTTCGTCTGCGGATAGGTGACTCGGGTTTCCTCGCTGGTGAAGGCTGACGGGCCGCATGAGGGCTCGACCTTTGGGCCTCAAACTCCCACAGATCCATATCATCGCCGGCATCTTCAGTTTCGTCGTCTGCGTCATTCACTGTCCCGTCCAATTGGCCATGAGAAATGGACTGAGGCTCAGAAGATCTGGCTGTTGATCGTGCAAAAGCCTCAAGGGGTACATCACCTCTAAGGTTGTCGCTAATAGGACCCTCTCTGTCAACCCAACTCATTCCACCCTCACTGGGAACCTGGAAATGCGTAGAGCTTGCTGCAGATTCCCTGGACATTGTTCGGCGATGGCGTGGCGACGAACCAGCACTTCTCCTCTCAAGAGCTTCCATAAAGCTAGCTTGGCCTGTATGTCTGGTGTTTGTTCCAAAGGGGTCGTCATAAACTTCATCGCCTTTGGGGATCTGGGCAGTTTCGGTGAATGGACGGGACTTCCCAGGACTCGCGCTCGTCCGTAGATTTGGCTGAGTTCCCCTTGGTCCCAGCTCTCTAGAAGCAGATCGCCTGAAAGGGCTTCGCAAATGGTGGTCGCGGGCCTCTGGTGTTGGAGGATCCGAGGTCACGCTCTGCAAAGCTCTTCCCGCCCTCATAATGGGGGACAATGTAGGACGTCTGACTCTCTCTGGTGGCACATCAGGCAACGATTGAGGTTCTTGAATAGGCGATGTAAGTTGATTTAGTGGCGTGACTTCTGGCTGCTGCATTTCGGCCTCCAATGACAAACGGGGTTGCTGAGGCACAACGATTTCAGGAATCTCTTCGGCCCCTTCAGGTCCTTCTTCGACAAGGTCTTCCAGAATGGTCTCTTCTAAGGGCTGGTCATCCGGATCAGAATGGTCATCAGGTTCAGGCATAATAGTCAAATCCATGATAGGGTCATTATCGTTGTCGGCTAGTTCTTCAACTTCAACAACAGCCTCGTTCGTGACTTGCCCAGTAACTTCAACAGCCTGATCAACGACTTCGTCATCGACCTCTATAGTTTCAGGTGGCAGCTGGGCTTGGGGTGCGGGTGCAGGTGATGAGTTCCTCAACGATGAATCTCTGGAAGATGCAGACCGAGCTGGACTCTGCGATGCGCTTGTTGACTTCTGGTTGTTATCGTTTCCAAGATCGATATTTGGAGGGGTGTCGTCAGGGGTGGGGAGGCGCCCGCCATCCGAACGAGATACAGCGCTTCCAATCGAAGCTGCTAGAGGTTCAGCCTCCTGTTGTTCTTGTTCTTCGACTGCCTCCTGTTCCGCTTCTGCACCTTGTTCTTCAACCACTTGCTCTTCTTGCTGTATCTCTACTTGCTGGGGCTCATCGTCAAACTGGATAAGGTCCGCATCCCCCATCTCAATATCCTCTCTCTCTGATGGTGCTTTCTTGGCCGTGGCTCGAGGACGACGAGGAGTGGCTGCCTCAAGTACCGCATCAGGGATCTCTGAGAATGAGTCGTCGTATAAGTTTGAATTATCGGTTTCGAGATGTGAGGAGTCTTGTCGTTGAGTTGCCAGAGGAGATCCGCGATATTCAACATCCGGATTGTCTCGCGCGTTCGACTGTAATACTTGGCGTCGCAATGGGGAAGAGCCCATTCTTCGCGGAGTCTGACGCCATATGGAAGATAGGTTGCGGTTAGGTGAGAAGGTCATGGGCGGGCGAATGGTAGACTGTCGAAGTTCATCTCGAGGCTCAACGGGAGCGGGTGCTGGTGGTTGGGCCTCCTTATCTTGCTCAGCGGTTTCCTTGTTCGCGTTAGGTCTATCGCGATCCTGCAAAGACTGCCGTAGAGACTCCAATGTGTTGTTAATAATTAGACTGGTTTCCTCGCCAATGTCGTTTTCGGCGATCTCTCGAACAGAGCTGCGCATACTGGCTTGTAACGAGGGGAGCGAGTCCATGAATATCATGCTAAAGTCTTCACCCGCTGCGACCGTATCTTCGTTACCAGGACGGGTGTCGCTTTCGGGTTCGTCTGCAGAGGATACGTCGCTTCCAGCGGGTCCAAAGCCATAATCTCCAAAATCCGAGGAACCATCTGCTCGTCCATGATCTGGACTTGAAGGAACAGGTGCATTTTGGGTCGCGCGACTCCCGGGCCGTGGCGTTGGTTCATCGTCTAATGTTGCCATCCAAATATCTGAATCGGGTTCTGATTGCTGAGCAGGCGCGCTATTATTCGCGGTTCGGTTTGCGCGTAACTGATTTGCCTCAGCTTCTGACGGCGTAATGACCAGAGTTACATCGTTATCGGCTTGCGAGTCGTCGGCGCGAAGAGAGGGAAGGTCGGATGCATCGCCAGCAACCTCAATCTTATCAAGAGCTTGGCTTTCTGATCTGTTACTCGTTTCTGAAACCCCCCTCGCGTTTTGTTCGTCCTCTATGGCATTTGGTGGGTCAACAGGACGATTCTTCGGTGGTCGACCTCGTCTTTTCGTTCCTGGCGTTGGCTGCGCATTACTGTCTGCCGATTTATTTGGTGTATCTATATCCTTTGTCGTGCGCTGTCGTCTGCGGGGGCTTCCATGCATCGGTGTTATTGACTTTCTCTTGGTGCCTGCACTGGGTAACGGTGTGCCATTTGTTTTTCTCGGCCGGCCTCGTTTCCTAGGAGTCGCGTTGGTATCGTCCTCGATTGCCCCCTTTAACGGCACAGTCGTCGTCGTCGTCGTCGCCATTTCTCTGCGTCGCGATATCGGTAGGTAAGGGCTGTCTTGAAATAGTTTTCGTCGCGCGCTGCTGGGGCCTGCAGTCGCGCTTGGTTCCTCTGTCTCGACCGTAACTAGTAATTTCTGGGGCGCTTTATTATCTCCAACCTCGAGTTCGAAAGTCTGTTTCCTAGGAGAGGTTCCTAAGCCCATGGAGGAGAAGCGGCTGGACCGTTGGCTGCTGCGAATAACACGGCGCGTGGATGGAGGGGGCATGACACTTTGTTCAACGGTATCGTTTAGAGGATCGGGTGACGACATAATATCCGCGCTGGGTGTGTTCATATCGGCAAAAGAATGCCAGCGAACGGAGAAAGGGTCGTTGTCAACGCCTAAACTTTTGCGTTTTGGCATTGACGAATGGTGGTTTCGTTAATCATTCATGGAATGTAAAATGCCAAATTCAAAATAGTCATGGTGCATGCAAACACTACCGTCCATCCGTTGTAAAGCCAAAACCAACCCGCGGTGTGCTTGTGCTTTGTTGGATTCTGACAAGGATAGACGTGGCGGCATGGGTCCAGTGTTTACTTTGGTCCGAATAAGGTAAGTGGGGACAGAGCGTGAACTTTGCCCGCATCTTCTGTTTCTCCTTCACTCCGTGGCTTGAATCTTTGACTGTTGTCTTGTGCCCCAATTGGGACTAGCTTCAGACGGTAAAGATCTCAAGTCACCGGCCCAAGGCCTTGTCCCTTTTCCCCACATCACATGCAGGGAAGTGACCTCATTTTCAGATGCGGAACAGAGGCCGACTTTTAGGGAAGTTTTACTCGGTATCAACTCCCGTCCCGACCTCGGTACGGTATATTTAGGGAGAGGGACCTACCTGAGATACCTAGGCCTTACAGTAGACGTCCTCTAGCTCTCGAGTCAAGTCATTGCCGATCCCGAGATACAAGACTCCCTCCAATACCTTCCTTACAAGCTTTAAATACTGTATCTGGGCACCTATAATCGAGCACGGCCCCGCGCGACTTGTAAGTTTCCCTCCCCCAGGTTTTTAATTCCTGTTCATTCCCCATCAATTCAATTCGATCCATTTCTGTCCTACATAAACATCGCTTACACGCGCCTCGCTTAAGCTTAAACTCGTATACTACATCAACCATTTACAAACGGCATCATGTCAGACAACGCCGAAAAGGAGACCTCTCCTCAGATTGATACGCCTGTGACAAAGGTCGAGATCACTCCTAACAAGGTCGAAATTACCACGGCGCCTGAAGCTCAAACAATCCCTCAGAATGACAATGTCGCTCACGCTCTTGCTGGCGCTGGAGGTGGTCTTCTGTCCATGATCCTGACGTAAGGCTTGCGAATACCCCAATGACGCATTACAGTGCGCTGATGATGTCTCAAGCTATCCTCTCATCACCCTCTCCACACGCGCTCAAGTCGAGTCCAAGAAGGCCGAGAGCAAGTTCAGTGAGGCTGTTGGCAACATCATCGCCCGTGAGGGTATCTCTGGTCTCTACTCCGGTATTAACTCGGCCCTCTTCGGCATCAGCATCACCAACTTTGTTTACTACTACTGGTACGAATGGACCCGCGGTTTCTTCGAGAAGGCTGCTGCCAAGGCTGGTCGCGCTGGCGCCAAGCTCACCACCGTTGAGTCCATGATCGCTGGTGCTATCGCTGGTTCGGCCACCGTCATCATCACCAACCCTATCTGGGTCGTCAACACTCGAGTCACTACTCGCCAGCAGGAGAAGAAGCAGGATGTCGAGTCCGGCGAGTCTAAGCCTGCCAAGGCTCCCAGCACCATCGGCACTCTGCTGCTGCTCCTCAAGAACGAGGGTCCTCAGGCTCTCTTCTCTGGTGTCATCCCAGCTCTTGTCCTCGTTATCAACCCTATCCTTCAGTACACTCTCTTCGAGCAACTCAAGAACACAGTTGAGAAGCGTCGCAAGGTAACTCCTACTATCGCCTTCTTCCTCGGTGCCCTCGGCAAGCTGTTTGCTACTGCCATCACCTACCCTTACATCACCGTCAAGTCTCAGATGCACGTCCAGAGCGGCAAGAAGGAGGGTTCCCTTAGCGCTCTTGCTCGCATCGTCCGCGAGAGTGGTTACTCCGGTCTCTACCGAGGTAAATATCGAGCCACCATCTTATTTGGCAATTTGCTAACTCTCATCAACAGGCATCGGCCCCAAGGTCGCCCAGAGTGTCCTCACTGCTGCGCTGCTCTTCGCCTTCAAGGACGTTCTTTATGAGCAGACCGTTCGTCTCCGAATGGCCCAGGCCGCTCGCCGACGCGTCGCCGCTTAAGCTAGTTTAAGCACTGGTCCCACTAGACAGCCTTCTTATCAGAACCAGGGTTGAAGATCCTCAATTATTCTCGGTATCTTATTCCGATTACCGAAAAGCATTTGCGGCGAGGATGCGTTCAGTTTGTTATTGAAATTGTCACAATGGAAATGGCGTTGTATTTATATACCTAGTATTGGTTCAAGTTCTGTTTGATGTTTGAAACCAGGGCTGGTAACATGGAATATTGGAAGAGGGTGTACTCTCATCCGGATACCCAAATGCTCGATGGCAGCTTTGATATAACAATTCAATTTAAGCTCATTTTTGTCATTATATATGGATATCCTTCAATAAGCTTCAGACAGGAACTAGACGAGGTACAATCCACCAGTCATGATAACGCTTGTCAGGAGTTGGCACCTCAGCTTTGATCTTCAGATTATTCGCATCTTCCTTTGATGCCTTTAGCACAGCTGTAATCGCGAGTCCTGTTGCAATACATGCTTTGAGCGCGTTCTTCTTGGAAGTCTGCCATTTATCGTGAGAACCAACTGAGAACGAATCTGTCGCAGACAATTTGCTCAGAGCCTCAAGCCCTTGCTTAGCACCCTTCAGAGCTCTTTCTGCATATCGAAGAATCTCCATCGTGGATGATTCTGGTTGCGTGGTTCCTAGTGTAAACTCTTGGAAGGCCGGGCAAGGTGGTAGACCAATGACGGCAAATGGTCTCATTCGCAGCTCAAAGCGGAGTTCGTCGTTACTATACGGTCGCGGAGGCACATTGACCAGCTTGAGCCGCATGAGAGCTGTGTAGAGACATGATAGTGCATCTGACAATTCCCATGTGACAGCGGCATCGAGAAGCATAAGCCGAATAAAGGCAAGGGATCGCTCAAGTTGGCGATCAACCGCAGGATTCCGTGGTTGAGAGGGTGCGCGAGATTCCTCGACTCTCCGAACAATGAAGGACTTGAGCCTCTCTGTGTGCTGGACTCTCCATTTGGCGAGGTAGTTGAGATACCAGTACATGCCGGCGAGCTCGTCTGGCTGGTAGACCTCCAACTCAAAACCAAGCTGTACAATCCATTCCATCTGACGAATCTTGTATAAATACGTCCAGGACGATAGTGGGAGGGAGTAGGTGTCGATTGGCTGAGCATTTGCTCCTGTGAATTGCCTCATTGGCTTCTCGTTTAACTTGACCTGGATAGTTTGATCAATCTCCTCAGCATCGAGCTGGAGATTATCCCAGTCCCTGATGATATGGCAGAGCGTGCGGCGTACACGACACCTGTTCTGACAAAAGGTCCTAAAGATATCGAGGAATGATTGAGCCGCTCTTTGTCGAAATAGTTCCATTTGTTGTGCAACAATGAATCGCGGATCTTGGGGGAATTCGATCTCGTCGTTGTTGCGATCAAGTTGGGAGCTGGCTGGCATCGACACGATAGAAAAGTCATCATCCATGATCTGCCGAATGCTCATTGAGCCTAGAACTTCCATCTCATTAAAGAGGAAAGTCTGGAGTAGAGTCCGCACGAAAACCAGTGGTTGAGGCTTCTTGGCTTGAAACTGTAAGACGAAGTTCTAAAAATGGTCAGTGTTGACAGTCTCTGAAGAACAATCCATTCCTTACTTGTAGACATTGGGAGTCGGTATAGTTTAGCACATCAATCAATTCAACACCATCCGTGAACAATCTTAACAGATGACCACATGCATCCTCAAATTTCAACTGCACAATCGGTCTAGGAGGCATAGTGCTTGCAAGCTTCCGTTGGAGTTTGGCGCTGAAGGCATCATCGACTGGTTTTCCCAAAGCGTGAGATGACTTGATGGCTGGAAGAATCTTGAGTCCTTCAAGCCATGGCTTTCGCGCAACTTCAGGCTCCTTCACATGCTTGGGACATTCTGTCGCTCCCAGAAAGTACAACCTTAGCTGTAGTCGTTGGTCAAGTGCCTCTCGAAGATCATTGTTGACATCGGTAGTTAATGTGCTGAGTAGGTCTCTTGCTTCTTGGATAGCTTGCCGGATAGCCTGGGGTTGTATTTCTGCAAGTAAGGTACGACTGTATGTGTTTGTCACAAAATCCTCTTCCTTGGAAATCTCTGTCAGCCAAAGAAAAAAAAAAGTAAAAAAAATCATTGCCATGACATCTGTTCACACTTACTTCATAGTAGTGTTCTGATCTGATCCGTTCATTGACATAACCGCAAGCTTTGAGCAAACCAAGACAGTACGCTCTCAATATTTTAAGCATGTCAGATTGCCCAGAAGAACTATCTGAACCATTTCGAACGAAATGAGCGTCCTCGACAGTTCGTGGGGTAGGTGTCAGGAGCGCCTCAGCGTATACACTAGTGAACAGAGTCTGTGAAAGAGGATATCCCTGATGCCATGCCATCTGAGCAATATTGTTAGCTTATATAGTTGCTTTGTTAGTGTAGCGCTTACCTCGTGACAGAGAAGCTGGTCTATAATTCCCAGTACCTCTTCTGGGAGCAGTGGCCGCGTAACATCGTAGAGCTCCTCAAGCTCATCTGCTGACTCAACACAACCGCTATCCATTTTTGGATCCATGATCTAAGTGTATCAGTATTGAACCAAACTTGTCTTCATGATAGACTTACCTCAAGACCTGAAACGGACTCGAACAGAGTAAAGGCCCCATCTTTGACAAGTTCACCGGGTGCAAGAGCTGGTAAGACTCAGTCAACGGCGGGGTCATGAACGAACAAGTCAGTAACACAAAACTTACTCTTGACGGCTTCTGAGAATTTATCTGTGATGTCCACTGCAACTATTCCCGCAGTCGCAATATCCGGAGGTGGCGGAGGTGGATGTTCATATTGGTGATCAAGCGATATTCTCGCGATATCTGTGCTCCCAAAGTCAGATTTTGACGACATGGCAAGCGGGACCTATAGGTAAGGCAGTATTGGGCACCCACCATCTTGAATTCCGTTGCCAATATCGTCCATATCAACTGAATGAAGCGACAAGTTATCGCATTAAATATTAATATTGCACGTTTGCGTGTTGGTGGTAGTGCTGAAATACAGCATTAGATGGATGTTTGATAGAAGATGATTGTGAGCAGGAAGGGAGATAGGACAATATATCCAATGATGATGATGGGTCCACTACTACGTATACTGATTGAATGATTTACTACCAAATTTGGCATCTATATCAGTAAAATCAATACACGGTGCCAAATTACAACGTGGACTTATAGTGGAAGAGGAAGAGGTCACCATTTCATAGCGACCTGGTCATGTGTGTTGATACACATCGTTAGCGGAGCCGTAGCTACTGTTTCGGCTGTAGCCGGGTGTGGCAGAAAGTTGAGATGCGGACGTCCCACCGCGATCGTCACAGTAGAAATCATTTATATCACAGCATCAATTCATCAGTAATTCCGTTCTTGCCTCCAATTGCAGTCGTAGTTTTGAATTTGATTGATACATTGCAACAATCGTTATGATACAGTGGTTCCAGGTGTATGCATTCGGCTGGGGAATAAGTCCATCTCATCTGAACCGAGCAACCCCTTTGAGGGCCATGCTTCTATTATCCCACGCGCAATCATCTCCAAATCGATCTGCTTAAGCAGCGTTCTCGGCGGCAATGGCGGCGTTGGCAGCGGCGAGATTCTTGGGCTCACCCTGCTTACCGTTCTGTTGAGGTAATTACATGTTAGTCTGCGTCGCTTTTTTTCGCCATCTTTTCGGTTCCGTATCGCCTTACCTGCCACTTGGAGAATCGCAAGTCCATCTCGCCTCGGCGCTCGGCAGCGATTCTCTTATCCTCCTTCAAGCTTCGGCGGACAACGCGGGCGGCGATGGCCAGGTAGCGGTTGTAGCTATCGAAACGTAATGTTAGCTTCTCGGTGTTTCGGTACGGTCGCTCGGCGGAAGACGTTGTAGTCGGCAGTGTATGAGGGTTCAATTGACGTACGTAAGACCAGCGGCTCTCCACGCAGCAGTCATTTTGGCGGTGTTGGAGGTTGAATTGGGAGGGATGGGATTTGGTAGTTGGTGATGGCTACTGAATCTTTGCTCCGAATTACCGGACAATGGCAGAGCTAGTATGGCGGCCTTAGGCAGAACCTTGTCATGAGCCGGGAAACAGCCGGAACGTTGTTAAGTCACGTGGCTTGATCTTCCGCGATCTTAGTATAGCGGGAAGACCCTTGCGCTCCTGAATCTAACTAATTTCCTCCGTAAGGCTAATGGAATCCTTCCAAATTGAGACTCTCGATACCTCCGTAAGGTAACAGGTATTATTTCTGAATAATAAACACCATTATTTTCAATCAGTTAGTCATGATGACTACGCATCCCGTTAAGCTTAAAATGAAACACTTATGCTTATCCCAGTAGTGTCTCTTCGCAATGGATGGTTGTCCAGCTTCACTTGCGGGGATCAATGAAATAAGCCGTGAGACACATCATCAAACGCCAATGATAGCGGCATCAAATTAGCAGGGGCCTATGTGTACACAGTCGGCCGCCCAATGAGCTAAAACCATTGGCTCTGTGCTTATCTTGCAGTTTTTCAGCTCCTTCTCCTCATATAGTGTTGGTCTCTTCACTTTCTTGAAATTCCCAGCTCAATCAGTTGTGCTCAAATGTCGTACATTGCCTCTGCTCGACGCCGGCGACCACAGGAGTTCTTCCTGCCGAATGGCAAGAAGATCATCGCCTCTCTACCTGAAGATCTCGAATCTTTACGTGAAGAACATGGAAAGCGAAGTGATATTCAGGTTGAAGTTGTCATTCATGGATCACCAGAACATTGCGACTATCTAAGAGAGACCCGAGATCACCATGAGAGTCGCCGTGCTCACTTTCGGCAACGCCATGGCCCTGCCTTTGACGAATGGGAAGATATGCAGAGTCAACTTGATATTGTCAACGGCCACCTGGAACGACTCTCTACCAACACGTCTGCTCTAAATGCCAATTTCGACAAGTTTGGTTATGGTGCTGAGCTGCGAACTTATGATGATGATGACCCCTCACCTGCTGTTGACTCCTCCAACATTTCCACTTCAGATACACTCTCAGTTGGTTCTGGTGGAGGTCAACCTCGACTAGGAGAAACTATCAAACTCTTCAAGAAGCCAGTGGTCAAGCAATGGTTTCACAAAGGGTTGTTGTGGCGTGCTTCAGAAAACACCGAGATCATGGCCATTGAGCTGTTCTTCGATCTTCTTTATGGTAAGAATCCCGACTCTGTTGCGATAGCAAATTCTCACCACTTGAAAAGTCGGCATCATTCATGTCAACGGCGAGCATGTCTGGGCTGAACCGACCGGCAAAGAGCTGCTTCGCTTCGCAATCACGTTCATTATGTCATGGAAAATTTGGTCCGATATCACTCTGATCTTGAGTTGGTTTGAGACGGATGATGTCTTTACTCGGCTTGAGATTCTATTCGAGATTGCTTGTCTCCTAGGGTACGTCAACAGTAGACAGCCAGAATTCAATCATCTGACTTCTTAGGTTCTCGACCAACATGACATATGCATTTTATCCTGGCGAGCACAACACATACACTATGCTAGTGTCATTCTATGTCGCTGCTCGTTTCAGAGGTGTTTTCCACTTCTTGTACACTGGGTACCTGCTACCAATGGTGCGAGGTGTTATGTTCTGTCAAGCTCTCAACATAATTGTACCTGCAGTCCTATGGATTGCTAGTATTCATGTTGAGATGCCTTCTCGTCTGGGTCTCGTCTGGATTGCCATCACCTTGGATATGTGCAGCCAGAGCATCCTCACGGTAATTTACCAATACGGCCGAAAGGCTGCTCACGACAAAAGGATTGCCAAGTATCTTTCTAGCATATTTGAGTTCTTTCCAGCGGTAAATATTGAGCATCGGGTTGAACGAACCAATGCCTTTGTCTCGCTGGTTTTTGGATACTCTGTCATGGGTCCAATGTTCCAAAGTCATGGAGGATATACCGTTGATGTATTCTTGGGAAAGGCCGTTCTCGGTCTTTGCCAGGCATTTGTGTTCAATTGGATCTATTTTGATGTCGATGGCAGTAACATCAATATCCATGCTATTCGACGCTCCGTGATATCCTGTAAGTTATACAGTCTGTTTTAATAACCCCTTGCTAACATACAAAGCGTCCGTATGGCACTACGCTCATCTCCCCTTTATCATGGGCTACATTCTAGCATCTGCCGCACTATCTAAGCTCGTCTGGGTCGCAGATACCCCAGATGCCAACCCTGAGCATTTGACTGAACACTACATCGAGCGTTCGGATCCTGGGGTGGCCGACGGCATTCGGTACTTTTACTGCCAGGGCCTTGCTGTGGCCTTGTTCTTTATGGGAGTCATTTCAGTCAGTCATGATCATCGCCATCCAGCAACTAGACGCCTGTCCAAGAAGACACGGTTGGCCAATCGACTTCTCGTCTGCCTCATCTTATTTCTCCTGCCATTAGCCAAGAGCCTGAACTCGCTGAACTTGATATCCATCACTCTGGCTTTGTCTGTATGGGTGTTGTTGCTAGAGTTATTTGGCAAATCATGCCGCAACGACCCGTTCATTGGTGAGAAGCAGGGGTGCTCTGTGAGGTACAAGTGTAAGTGCAGTAAGAGAGATCTCGAAAATGCCAACTTGTATGAGAAGGAACAGATACCATCAACGGAGGTACTTGAGCTAGGGCCCAGACAGAAAACTGCAGTTCCTGATGTGCAAGAATAAGTACAACAAATGGTGATTTGGGATATAATTTGGGGCTTCCCGTTTATCTGGCATATTTGACGAGAATGTCTCGTAAAAAACACAAGGTCGATTTCTATAACTAAAATATACGAACAGTCTATCACTGGTATCTATCTCATCTGAGTATTCATCCCAATAGTCTAGGAACCACCGACCATGATGGCCATAGTCTGATGCATTCTTCGCCTATCCACTTCTTTCTTCATCATAGACACGCAACTCACCACAGCTAGAATTTCCATCTCCATTGCCTCATTTTTTCGATCCAACCACTCACGCAAATCAAGCATAAGTCGCCCACCGTTTCCAGCAGAGCTCCTCCTAGAACCTTGGGTACGAAGTTCGTCACTACGCACAAACTGCCCAACTTTACGTCTTCTCTCCTCTTGTTTTCCTCCTGCAACGGCAACTTTCATGACTTGATCAAGAATGAGTAGACAATCGATTTCCTCGCCAATCGAGGCTTTTGCAGTTCGACGTTCGGCACGGGAACTATATCGCCATTCGAAAGTGCCAAGATGAGTGCGCATGATGGTGCTGCGAGTTAGAACACCTTTGCAATTGATCTCAATCTCCTCTGTCTGTCCGTCCTGCGATCCATCCCCAACGAGACGGATCTTAGGAGGCTTGCCTGGACCGAAGCGGTATGTCGTTGTGCAAAGAGCTGTTTGTGTCGGATCATTCGCCCTGGCTAGAAAGCAAGAACCTGAGTTTCTTGTAGGCCGAATCGATACATACTCGGCTTCATCGAGATCACCTGTTGAGGTGACATTGAAGACATAGATAGGATCTGGCTGAGGCGGTAGAGGAAGCCTGATAAGTGCAAACCCAGGAGCTTGGATCTGAAGTTGTTTTGTAGGATGAAATCCCGGTGTTGCAGAGGATGATGCTGAGTCTCTGTTGTCATTGTTGTACAGGGTCGTATATTCCGGGAGGGAATTTGTAGAAGATGTAGCTGGTGAGAGGCGTGATAGTTCTACGGCTTCAGTGGTCTCGTAGTCAGGAGGCGGAGCCAAGTGTCCAGAGGGACGATGGCCAAGTTCGAAGTATGAAGTTTTCATTGTCTCTGTTTTGGTAGACATGTTGCTGTAAGAGTGGTATTGATAAGAGTATTTTGGATATCCGATTTCTCTGAATGTAGCCTGGTGATGTTGATAAACTGTTGGTGTAAGTCTTACTATGATGCTTGCTTCCACCTTGAAGGCGGACACAAGGCCTATATATACCCACGACCTTGTATGATCTACGTCTTTATCCTAAGATCTTCAATTGGCTCTTGGCCAAACCCGAAGAATACGACACAACTGTTGCTCAGACGGGACAGCCCAAGGCATCTATCATTCAGCCCTGTGAGGTTTATTCTCAAACATGATTGGCTTATTCGATAATCATCTCCCCCACGCAGGACCCAATCGCGTGAAATACGATGAATGCGAGATTCAATAGTGGGGGCTTTGCTGGGGCAGTGCCGAGACTAGCCCCAGAGAGCAATACTTGAGACCTTTTTTTGTCACTCAGGATAAAGATCTTCAGTTTTCTTTATTTCCTTAGACTACCTTAGGCACGGCGCAAGACGGAGAAGGCGCAGAGCTTTATTCGTGTTGCCCGATTAATATGTAAGACAAACACTATTACTGATCCCGGTTGTGATTATATGTTCTGGTAGTGCTCAGGCCATTTGCCGAGTCAACATAGACCAAATGAATGTCCCATTTTGAGATACTAGCTTGATTCTGAGATCAAGTCCCTTCTTTCAAGTTAATTCTCGTCTTCGGCGTCATCCTGTGTTTCCTGCTCTTGGCCCTTCTCCTCTCGCGGCCACGGCCAAAGTCCTTTCAAGGGGGTGTCATCCAAGATGACATTCACGTTCTCCACAGGAGAACCTAACTCAAAATTGTAGACAACACTCTCCTCATCTAAGCTATCGAACCCAAGGACAGAGTATATTCCCTTTACCGAGAGATGCTCAATAGGAAACCCTGCAGCAATCTGCCTACTGGATGAGTGACCAGACACTCAACTCTGCCGACCATTGAGGGTCGATGAGAGTGTGGCTGCGCATGTAGTACCAAGTCCCGTCTCTCTCGCTATAAAAGTGTTTGAGGGAGTTGCACTGTACTTGCACATTGTCTTGAGATACATGCAGTCCGTCTTGCATTAATCCCACGATGTCTTGAGTCGAGACATCAAGTTGGGCGTATCAACCAACGTTCAAATCAACTTCTCAGGGTGCTTGCCTCAGAGACCTTGGATCCGAGCCGAAGTTGAATTGTAGGTTCCATGACATAGACACTTCAGGTGCTATCTCTTGGTTCTCTTGGTAAGGAGGGGGGCCTGCCACAGGCGAGTTTGTTACGGCCAAGCCCATTCCGAGCCTTTCGGGGGGTGGTACAACTACCCGAATGGTAAGTGGTCCAGGAAGAAATTGGTACAGGGTTCGTTCCACGGTGCCAGTTACCATACTCACGACTTATGGTGCTGTTTTCAGTTCCGATGAAAAGGGGGAATAAATAAAATGTGGTGTTGACGAGGGAGGATAAGATGACTTTGTTTTGAGCAAGACGGGGGGGCTTCTTGTTTTTATACCACGCCAAAACCCAAATATTCATCAGAGGAGAAAGTATGTTAACAAAGATGCTTTCTCGGTAGAAATTGAGTGCATTTTATGGTTTTAGTGCTTCGAGTCGAATCATAACAATGGGTCAGGAAAATAATGTTATCTTAAACTTTGGGGATGACGGCCTGACCCATAGGATACATGTGGTTATCGGTCATGTGAGCAACAGCAAAAGTTGAGTTCGTTTGAAATATGATTCATGATTGAGCCTTATGTGAAAAGCCACAAGAGAGCCAAACTTCAGTCACATCTGTTCTATACAAAATAACTGAGGCTAACCCCATGATCAAGCCCTCCCAAAGAAAGTAATATCACGATCCAACTGTTCCTCCACCCACATCGGCCACTGATTATAGATCTGGTGCTCAAGGTTGACATTGGCATTGATATGTTTAAGCCAACGAGCAAAACCAGGATCAAGTTCTGGCTGGCCATCTCTCTGTGGAGGGTACTTTTCAGATACGTTCCGTTCCTGTCCACTAATAGGAGACATGATCTCGTTGATGGCGACCCAATGTGAGTGAAGCAGCATCATGACCTGGTTATCTGGATCAATGAGAGCTTGGAAGGTGTCGTGTGGAAGTAACATCCACCAGCCGTATTGTGATGTGTATGCTTTATATGCTAGACTTAATTAGATAGATGCGAGAGTTGTGTGACAGGTTTCAAAGACTTGCCATCCCACGAGTTGATGTAGAGCTTCTCGACCATTGTGACGAGATGCTGGTGATACTCAACCTCGACTGACTGCGTACACAGTGGCTTGAGATTCGTAAGAGCCTCCATTGCAGAGTCTGTATAGCCCTTTGGAATTAGTGGGAGACCCTGCATTAGAGGCTCAAGTAAAGCATCTTGATCCGGCTCCATCATATTTTCAAATATCGGTTTTATACCTCGGAAAAGCATTTGCATTCCCACAATCATGATACCCCGGATGAAGGTCAGATATTCAGCCAATCCATCATCCAGGCTGACTGACTGAAATGTAAGGGCGTAACAGGTAGCTACCATAGCGTTCGCTTCCTCATAGCCCATTGAGCTTCGAGCAGTCTCTGCGAGACGCTTCTTGATTGCTCTGATTGCCTTGATGCGATGGTTCATGGCTGAGGAAACAACACTGGCGTCATTCCTCATGAGCTCAGATGCTGAGAAACCGAGGATTGCGTGCATAAGATATTCATGCTATACCAATTAGTAACTGCCTTGCTTGTTTGACTTGATCGAGATACATACGTTGTGGGCAATACATGGGATTTCATGGGTCCAGATATCTTCTTGTTTCAAAGGATGATGAGGGTAGCATTGCGTCAGAAAGTGCTGGAAGAAACGCATGTCCTGGAGACTGAATAGAGGAATTTGGTGATGTGGCTAGATACACGATCGTTAGTTGATCCCAATTGTTCACTCTTGTCTCCTACGCACCTGATGTGTGATCTGGGGCATAGATGGATACTCGCACTTCAGGCCCGTCTTGGTACAGTGCCCACACGCAGGCCGAGTCTCCTGGCACTTCCTGGTGTTAGCCACCCAATCAAACCAGATCTTCGGGTCTACATACCTTGATACGTCTTCTCTTGCAGTTGTAGCAACCTCTTCGACTTTTGGTATGGCCTCTTCGCTCAAGTCTTTGTTTCTGAGCAGAAGGCCGAGCAACAAGTTCGCTACTAGACCCTGATGTAGTGCTTGGTGGGGTAGCTTTGTCTGAAGAGTCTGATCGTACTTGTTGTTGGGTCTGGGCACTCTCCCCAAAGGCAATATCGTCAGCTTGGAGAAAGGCGCCGTAGTCAAATTCGGGCTGGTCGGTGAATGATAGCATCCCCGGTGTGAAGTCTTGGTTCATATCCATGGTGTGATTTCTTTCTGCTGTTCGCTGGTTGTAGTTCAGCTAGCTCCTTGCAGCTCTTATAGATTGCCCGAGGTAGAAGTGATCAGAGTAGATATGATGGTATTCGGTAGCCGTTTTTTGCCCTCATGTATCTAGTTCGTCGTATGAGACAAATGCTTCAGATTTAAAGGTTGAAGTTTTATAAGCATGGCTAGAACTCACGAGGCATCAACAGCTGGATAGCTTCCTCAACCCAACACGAGCGAATCAGCGTCTTATAAAATCACGTGTTGAAGCTGGCAGTGGACGATCCTCTCAAGTGGCTTGAGCCCTGCCACAACTAGCTTAACATGTTGTTTTATCATTCGTTGTAGTGGCAGTTCATCCCTAACTAACCGGGCGGGATGACGGGTCATCATTCCGCCGCTTTCTCGCACTATCATCCCAATTTGGGTTTCGGTGTTGTTAGGCAGTTTTCAGTATTAATAGTTACCTGTTGCGACCATGTCGTGACTTTATATGATTTTTGGGTATTGGCTTCATGAAAGAGGCTGTGTTGACCTCCACTGATTTACTGGCCGATAGGGCAATGGTCACTTTCGCCATAGAGCCAGCCTTACTCGATTAGCTCTCAACGGGCTGCAGATTCTCCGTTACCTTATAGCGGGGCCCCAGTTTGATATCCATTTACAATATCCATTGTTGGCGTTTAACTTTACCCCAGAATCTTAATAATGACAACGGTCCATATTTCAACAACAAACTCAAGGAAAGGTCTGATTATGGAGATGGCACTTTTGGTGTTGCACTCGACTCTGTCGCCGTGTGATTAGCCAAATCACGGGAATAACAAGCGCGCGCCTGCGATCGTCCTCTAGTCCTTTACCTCATTTCCCATCGTCGGGCGCTTCTGCAAATATCGCGATTCGCAAGTATCCTAGCGCCGATCATGTCATTAGCTCTCCTGAACTCTGGAGCCATGTTACAGGATCTATTTTAAAAACGATGGCTTGCTTCGTTTGTTGCGGTTTGTCTCGTTCACTTGTTTAAGTCTCAGCTTTCGGTTACTCACAACCCATTACTACCAGAAACACTACGCAACCATCTCAAATGATATACCACCAGTTCCATTGCAGTATGTTGAACTTTAATGAGAAGGGGTTGTCCATAATGCATACTGCATTGGCCAAAAGTGTAACAGAGACATAGCCAAAGAGGCCTGCAGTTTGTTGAGATATACATGTAATAGTGAAGCAGGCAGGGGGTTTCTGTCAACAAATAATCCTACCCTATACCTCATATCAGATACATGAATTTTATTATCACTTTTTGAATAAACCACTACCACTACCGCATCCTGGTTGTTTCACCCGAATATCGTTCATGCTGCTTTTTAGGGAGGCCTCTTATCCCGAGAAACCCGCGGTTCTCATTATTGTCATGTTGATTGATGGTACGCCTTGATCAACAACATCCACATCCCGCCAAGGTGGGTCGTGTCACCAAGCGTTCGTATACACAATAACATTAGATTAACGTCCCGCTCAATGCATCGTACTCTGAAATTGGATATATTCAACCACATTGCGGTATCGAATCATCCACCCCAGAATCAACAGCTCATTGGAAGTGGAGAGCAAGAGCCATGCTCATATCCTATTAAAAGCTCAACAGACACCAGGGACTCCCCGAAGCGATCTCGTGAGATAAGATGAGCGCCCCATAGGCCCATAACTTGTGGGCTGAATCATGATTTTCAATACAAGCAACAGCTCGTCGCTTGAAAGACTGGTTATTTTGTTTACTAGTGGCTTTGATAAGAGTAAACGACCCTGATCAGGGGAGCCCATCACCCGGAGTCCCAAACACTTGTTGGGGAGATTAGATAAAGAAAGTTGCACAAAGAAACAAAATGAAGAGCATTGAGTGTAGCACGTCAGCTTGACCGCCACATGTCAATAGTTTAGGTGCCAAGCCGAGGAAATAGAGTCTGTGACATTTAGCTTATCCAAAGCAAAGAGTGTTGAGAGTGTTCTTTGTGCAGAAAATGCAACCCTCATCATGCAAAGTGATGACAAAGACTTCCACAAAAACAGAACAGATTGTGAAGATCTGAGTCAACAAAATCCGGTATTGAGTTTTTTTCTTGATCCAAGTTGTGAATGTCTCCTGTGGGGATGAGTGACAACCCTGCCATACTATGAGAATCGAGAACCAAGCTTTTTTACGCCCAAAAAAAAAAAGGCTCAATCATGTCTCTGTTCCGTCCGTTTGCAGCGTCCATCCATTGTGGACTGCGATGAGGATCCGATCCGGAATCCCGGCTAACAGGTTGCTCAGATATTGACAAGGGATATCATGGTTGTACGCGTGGAGCCCCCTACTGTGGCTGCGGATGTAATTTCGGACGGTGTTTCACACGGCGGATGCTAAGTGAGAATTGGGTTTAGCAGCCGACGTGGCCCTTTAGCAATGGGTTCAGGTTTGTCCCAAGAGGCTGGGATGCTCCAAAAAGCCAAGAAATTTAGAATTTTCGTCGGTGGCAGTCTTTGTGCGCCTTGTTCTGTATGCTTTAATTGTGTGTGTGCGTTGTCGTTGCTAGTTGTCGTGATGAGCGTCATATGATGCGTATCATGCGCCTTTGGTGTGAGAGCATTGGAATGATGAAAAGCCAGGTGATGACGGTGATGCAGAAGTTGGTGGTCGATAACCTCAGGCCTTGCATTCATCAAGCTGGCTGGGCTTGGCACCAGGATAAGCATCGCATCAGCTAGCTGGCCTCCAGGCTACAGGGTATCCTGGGTAGGATCAGCTCAACGGAGTTAGGGCCAACGTTTACGACGGCCTCGTCCGATTACGTTGGTAGCTGGGAAGTGGGCGTTGAGGGTTCTCGAAGGCCAAGTGCCGGCAGCAAATTCGGTCGTGTTTTCTACTGTCTTGGGACCGTTTAGTTTTTTATACCACGGTGGATATCAGAAGTTTGGTTGTGGGATCGTCGAGTCAGGAAATGGGGCAAAGAGTGCTGGCATTGCAGCAAAAGCAACAAAGGCCCCAGTGCGTGAATCATTCCTTTGAGGGCCACTAACACAATTGGGCCGTTTGCGGTCTTTTGTTCTCTTGTTTCCTCTTTTTTGTGTGTGTTCCTGCAGAAGGGACCTGCAGTAGACCCAAGCCGGATGAATAGCGCATGTATAGTTTGTTTCAGTTCAGGCACAGCGTGTGTGCCTGTGTGTGAGTGGTCGTGCATCCACTGCCACGTTAACCCATGTTTTCTTGCCCACTGTCGTTGTCGTTGGCTTGGTCGTTTAGGTTCTGAGAGGGAGGCCAGGCTGACCAATCGGAAACTGCTTTGATGCTACCTGAGGCGGCTGCCCCTGGCATACTACCCGCTTTTTGCCAGGGATGGCGTACCCGGCGAGAGATCCACTCTAGCACGGCGCCAGGAACAGAGCGTCGGCCAATGGAATTGCAGAATGCCTCCAAGCATTTCACCTGAGTCCACCGAAAGCGACCCAAAATGGCCCCTGCAAGTGGAGGCTCTCGATGGCCCAGGTGGGGGGCAGTCTTCCCAGTCTTTCCAGTCTTAGAAACAAAGATACCAGGTGTCAGGTGAAGACACGGGTATCTCCAACGATCGTCAGCAAGCAAAAGATACATCCCGGTCCACCTCACCACTTGTACTTCTGGATCATGTCCAAACCACACCATTGCGAGGGACCTCCTTGCTCTTAAACCCTCTAAATCCCCCATGGTTTCGAACTTCCCTTCCCCTTCTCTCCTTCATCTCGTCAGTATCAGCCCGTGTTTTCAACCCTCGTCTCGACTAGTCGTCGCCCTTCTTTATCTGCGTCTTTGATAGATCGCATACACACTCCCTACTCGGCCGTGCCGATCGCATAACTACAACTATCGCCTCAGCCTCGATCTTTGGTTGTTGCCTTCACCTTGTCATCCCGACTGTGATCAACCCGATTATCAAGTACAACTTCACACTCATTACACAAGTCGACTGTCGTCTTTAAAAACACAAGGTTTCATCGATCTTTACCCAAATCGCTTTGATTAAGAACATCATATCAAATCAGTCAAGATGATCGCCAACAAGCTCACCATCCTTACCGCTACCGCCGCTCTTCTTGAGCCGGCCCTCGCTCTCGGCCACCGCCATGCTCACCACCAGCACGCCCAGAAGCGTGGTGACTGGATCGTTGCTACCATCGACGGTCAGGTCGTCTCATGGGAGAACAACTACTTCGGCCCCGGCGGTGCTGCTCCTGCTGCCACTCAGCCCGCTGCCGCTTCTCAACCCGAGGCACCTGCTGCTCCCGCTCCCGCTGCCGCTCAGCCCACCACCATCATCAAGGTCGCCAAACCCTCTCAAGCTGCTAAGCCCGCCTATAAGCCCGCTTCTGAGCCCAAGAAGGAGGAGACCGCCGCCAAGGCTCCCCAGAAGGCTGCTATCAAGGAGAAGACTCAGTCCAAGGCCAAGTCTAGCGGCTCCTCTTCCGGCGGCTCCGTTGGCTTCTCCCACAAGCGAGGTGTCTGCTACAACAACGTTGACCTTGCCAACACCTTCGCCGGTGACTGCAAGAACTGTGGCTGGGGTTACAACTGGGACTCCTCTTCCAACGGTCTCAAGGGTCTCAACTTCATCCCTACTCTCTGGAACGACCAGCCTCTCCACACCGATCGCTTTGCCGACAACTGTGCCCAGGCTCTCAGTGATGGCGCCAAGGCTATCTTCAGCTTCAACGAGCCTGACAACGCTGGTCAGGCTGACATGACTCCTGCCTACGCTGCCAAGGCTCATGTCAAGTGGCTCAACCCCTATGCTGGCAAGGCCCTCATCGGTGCTCCTTCCATCAGCAACAGCGGTCTTCCTATGGAGGGTGTCGAGTGGCTCAAGAACTGGGTCTCTGAGTGTGAGAAGCTCGGCGAGCAGTGCCAGTATGACTTCTGCAACGTCCACTGGTACTCCGAGGTTGAGTACGGTAACACTCTCTTCGACCACCTCAAGGCTTCCCATGAGGCTTGCGGCGGAAAGCCCATCTGGCTCACTGAGTTCGCTCCTACCGGCTCTGATGAGGCCATTGCCGACTGGCTCAAGGAAACCATCCCCAAGCTTGAGGACCTTTCTTACCTTGATGCTTACTCCTACTTCAAGGTCGAGACTGGCATGCTCATGACCAGCGAGACCCAGCTCAGCTCCTACGGTAGCGTTTACGCCTCCGCTTAAGCTCGCGAAGGCCCATGGCAGATGGCCACCCAGTTCGTTTTATAACTTCTTGTACACTCGCTAGGGAAATACCCAACCATTCAAAATTGGCTTTCGGGAGGGAGGATAAACATTTTCGGTTCAAGGATGGCGCCCGTTGACTTATGTACATATTCTGCATTTAGGTGACCAGGATCTGGCTCACAGTATCCACGTTTTTATATCACGGTCAACCTCCTTACCTTTTTTCTTATCATTAGTTCTGGGATATTACAAAAAGGGAGGACTTTGCAAATAGAACAATTCCTGATCTTAACAGTTTGATAGACTTCTTTCAGCGTGTAGATACATCTATGAGCTACGATGACAATGAACAGCGATTTGACTGCTCCAACTACTGTGCCATCCTATGAATAAACATCTCTACTGTTTGAATGAGGGAAGGCTAGCAGGAATACATCAGGCTGTCTCATGAACCTCGGTTTGAGACTTCTTTGAACCCTTGCTTTCCTCCTAGATTGTCGCCACGCCAATGTCTTGATTGAGCTGCGCTAGAAGCTGAGGAATGTTGTGCCATGTGTATGAATGCGGGAGGTCAACACCTGACGCCATTGTGTCATACATCCAACATTCCATGATCAGTGCGGAACGTCTTTGTCAAGTTCAAGCGTCATATAAACTTACCACAGAGAATAGAAGCTCTTCCCAAGTCCTAAGGCAATAAAATATGATTAGATGCAAGAGCTTCCGCAACTCTCGTGGATGATTAAACTAAATATTGGGTATTTCCGCCACCATCCTTATCAACACCGATCTTTTCAAATACGCCTAGAACCGTCTTGTCGTTGTCCAAAGAACCTTCAACATGAAAACGTCGAATTCTTCTGAGCCAATATTCCAAGCAAACCTTTTCTAAAACAGACTTGTACTGTAACTTTTTATTTATTCAACGGACGTGAGAATGAAGGTGCCTTGGCATGATGTGGCCTGGAGCCACCTTGGATTCGTGTTCGCGGTGGCTCTGCGACTTCTGTGTGGCCTGGGGCAAAAGCAACCGACCGCACCGGAAAGTCTCGGTCTGATTCAATCTCGATATCGTCGTCGTCGTCGCTGCTCTCCTTTCGTTCGGTCGTAGGCCTGCTCTGACGGTGAATTGTCGTCGTAACGATAACGCCACTTGTAGCCCCTGAATGAACTTTAGTCATTTCGAAACCGGGGTCATCAGTTGAAGAGGTGACGGCAGCATGCCCAACAAGAGAAGTCTCGTCATCCATGTCGCGAGGGACGTTGGGGACGTTGGAAGCATGCAGAGAGCTTCTTGGGTGAGCTGACGAGGCACGCCTGCCGATGTAGCTGCCATCCATAACAGCAGCCGATGCTGGTTGACTGGAAGAACCAGCACTGTCGCGAGAAGTGACCCATTGAACGACAATGGCCGAAAAGAGGACTGAATATGGTCAGTTATAACTCAAGCGCCTCGTTGAAGGTACATACCGTCACTATTGCAACACATTAGGCACACCCAACCTGGCTCGCCATTGAGAACCATCAATACAGTCAAGTTTCTAATTCGTGTTAGAGAGGAATCCAAGCGCTAGACATCAATGGACACACACTATACTGCTTGTCAAGGTACAGCAAGCACCGACGAAAGTACGGAAGGCCACATTGCGAAGGCGGGAGTTCGCATGGGTCTTTAGAAGATTCCTGAATGAATAGAGATCTGAGGACTCGTCAGCATTTTCACATGGGACTCCCGAATGACGACTAACTTTTGAGAGGGATCAGAAAAAGAATAGTCAGGTAGACATTGACGACGGCATCGAATGCGATAAGAGGAATCATAGAGATGCTCTTCATGCCGATGAAGCACTCTCCGTTTACAATTCTGGCAATGCGACTAAGACCATTGGGAAGCCGTTGGAAAACGAAAGTCAATGTTAGAAGGACCTACTAGATAAAGTTGAGAACGACAACCACTCCATAACCACCAAGAAGTGTGGTCATGTTGAACAAGTAAAGTTTAGAGTTTCTCCTACGTGTGGTAGAACTTCGAATAACATGCTATGTGTTGTTAGAGACAATATTTCTTTTCTCCAGTAATATGTGAAACTTACTGCTTTCTCGACAAGAAAGACAGATAAGCTATTCTCATATTAGTCAAAATCCTCCACGGCACAGTCGACAGAAGAACCCACAATCTTGGTTGTAACATAGCAGATTAGACAAGTAAGATGGCGCCATGGCAGATGTTAAAGCTGCTGTTGACACCGAAGACCTGTTGGAGGATGGCAGAGGTGAAAACAAAGCCGTAGGAGTCGACGTAGATGACGAGGACGACTATTTCATGTTTAGCCAACGAACTGAACAACATCCTTGCATCAGCTCAAGAGACTTACGCCCAAGCAACAAACGGTAACCTGGACCAGGATCTCACGGCAGCAATTCTCTGGACTAATCGATCAGGCGTGTCAGTTTTCAGTGCTATATATCATAAGGGCTTTGGAAAGACTTACAAAGAAAGACAGATAATATTGAACAAGCAGCGAGGGAAACCATAACCGACATGATGTCCCCTCCTATGGGAACAGGTTTCGGTAGATATGCCTCGCGAGGCTCGAGAGAAGGCTTGGGAGCCATATCAGATCGTGTTCGACGACGGCCGTGTCAAAATGGGATCTGAAAGAGCTACCAAAAATGCAGCAAAGTTCCTGTTACTGTCCCTGGCTATAACAGGCAGATCTTCAACAGAAGGACGAAAATTATTTCAAGCATTGGTAGGAGGGTTGCGTAGGGTGATAGTTAAGGAGGAGGAGGACGGGGAATAAAAGAGCAATTGCCTAGACAGGTATCAAGTCAAAGCATAATTTGTGGCTATCTCTTTGAGTGGCACAAGACTACAGCAGGTCACTCGCCCCACTTTGCTTACTAACCCTACTAATACCTGCAAGGTATATAAAGTTCTTATTAGATAGCTTCTTTATTTAAAGTACCTAAATCCTTATATAAATTACCCTTAGTAAGTTTTAAATAAAATAATAAGCTTTTTAAAAATACTTAAATTTATAAATAATTATAGCTTTAATATCCTGCCTTTAAAGGTAATTAATAACCTTATTAATATACCTAATTTTCTAGCTAAAAAAGGCTATAATAATAATTTTTAACCTTTTAATATTAAATATTATAATTTTTAAATTAACCCTTTATCTTAATAACTACTTAAATTATTTTAGCTTTTTATATCTATTTTATTTATATAATTATAATTTAAATATACTAATAACTAAGTTATTTATTTACTTAAAAATATAATTATTAATAATTAAAATACCCTTTTTTATAAATAGTCTTATATCTTTAAGTAAGAAGGTATTTTTACTTTAATAGCTTATATATAGCTTAGGGTCTTTATTTACTTATAAATTTATAAAAAAATATTAATTATAAATTATTAAAAGTTCTTTAATTTAGAAGATTAATGCCTTTTTTATTTATTTATTAAGTTTATATTATTATAAAAGTTCTAGCTAATTATAAGGTATTTTTATACTTTTAATTATATTAAGCTTAATATAAATAATAAAGGTAATTTTCTAAAGACCTTTTAAATAATTAAAAAGTAATTTAATTATATATAAAGGGTATTTATTAAGCTTTATTTTTTAAAGATTAATTTAATTATAAATAAGTATATAATCTTTTTTATAAGTAAATTAAAAGAGATAATAGTTATTAAGAATAAGCCTATATTATTAAGGTTTAAAATCTAAGTTATTATATAATAAGACTACTTTTTATAATAGCTTTAATATATAAAAGTATTATTATATAAGGCTATTATAATTAAGTTATTTATATTAATATTATATAGTAAAAAAGAAAAGCTATAAATTAAAATTCTTTTTAATAATATATAAAGTATTATAATTTATTTATTAAAAAGGCTATTAATATAAATATATTATATTTTTATAAATAACTTCTTTTTATTATTATAGCTTTTTTGCCTTTTTTAATACCTTAATTATAGTATTATAGATATAATATACCTTAATTATAATATTAATATTAAAATAAAGTAAATAAAAAAGACTAGAAAAGCTTTTAATAATATAGCTTTATAATATAATAAGGTATATTTAATCTTAATATAAGATAAATAAGTATAAATAACTTTACTTATATTTTTCTTATTAATTTAATTATTTCCTTTGTCCTTAAGTTATTTAAATTACTTAAAAAAATAATAGTATTATATTCTTCCTTTTAACTATACTTAATAAAGCCCTTTATAAGTATATATTAAAAAAGCAAAAAAAGCCTACTAAAAGAGGCATAAAGGTAAAAATATAATACTTATAATAAGTCTTTAATAGTAATAGCTTTAAGATAATTCTTATTTTTATTATTATTACTTAATATAATAATTAAATAAAGTCTTATATAATATATTAATATTAATTTTATTATAAACTTTAATAAGTATAATTTTAATTTTTTTTTTATAGTTATATTTATAAATAGCTTTATTTTATAAAAGAAAATATAATAGCCTTATTAAAAGCCTTATAATATACTTAAAGCTTAAAAAAGGCTATTTATAATATTATTTTTAATAAATATAAGATTAAAAGTTATATAAAGAAGAGATATTATATAAAAAAAGAAGAAGATATTAAAGATATTAAAGTATAATAAATTTACCTATAAAGAAATATTAATTATATTTATTAAGGTATACCTTCTAACTACCTAGCTTATAAAGGCTATTAATAAAAATAGCCTTAACTTTTTTTTTTTAAAAAAAAAAGTAAAAAAAAAGTTATTTATAGTTAATATTAGGAAATAAATAAAAGATATAAACCTAATATAGCTATAAAGTCTATAAAATAGCTATTTATAACTTGGCTAACTGCTAGTACTTCTATTATATATAAAATTAGGTATATGCAAATATACTTCAAGTAGCGCTCATTTTGATAGGTCCTATACCCCTGTCGTGACCCCGCTGTAGTCTTGTGCCACTCAAAGAGATAAGGTAGAAAGGTCAAGCTAACACACTTTCCTGACTGTGCGGAAGCCTCAGGTCTCTAGTTCTTCTGCCGACGACCTATCCAGTAGTCTGGAAACTAGGGGTCTCTAGCTCAACCAAACTAATGTATTGAAAGTTGCTCATGGGTCCGTATATGAAATAAGTCCCCGGGCAAGCCAGAAGCGGAAGACGTCCAGGCACCATGCAGAAACGCTATCAGTGGCCGCAGGTACGAATGATACTGGAATATTGGGTAACATAGCGGTTGGGCCAGGCACAATGACTTGAGGGCCATCAGAGAGATCGGTACTTTATTCGCCAAGAAATTCAGAGTAAAACGAACAACCATTTGAGATGAATATCGAAATAAGGTTAGAACGGCGTGGTCGTTACTTGATGAGCCACTGACGGTGGTGGACGGGAGTACGATGGGTGATGCTCTTTGTGGGCACTGTAAAATAGTCTGGGATAGCAACGGAGGATCCGAATACCTGACTGAATCCTTGGCGATGTCCCGGCCTCTGAGTATTTGATATAGCTCACAAAGGAGGTATGTCACCCATTGTTAGACTCGGTTCCGGATGCAGATGGGAGGAAATCATGGTATTTGTGATGGGACAATGTCAGTAAAGGCTATTTAACAGAATGTCATTCTTTTCGAGACACAAAAGGTTGACTCGTAAGGCATTTTGTTCGATCGATTTTCCAGAAGTCATACCAATTCTTGGTGATTGGTGATTGGTGATTGGTGATTGGTGATTGGTGATTGGTGATTGGTGATTGGTGATTGGTGATTGGTGATTGGTGATTGGTGATTGGTGATTGGTGATTGGTGATTGGTGATTGGTGATTGGTGATTGGTGATTGGTGATTGGTGATTGGTGATTGGTGATTGGTGATTGGTGATTGGTGATTGGTGATTGGTGATTGGTGATTAGTGATTGTATAAAGACTTAGGAATGTCCAGTCGGGACAAACTGTGTTAGCCGATATTTCTGGTTTGCCGTTAAAAGACAACACCAGGTGTACGGGAGGGCTGCTCGTGATTACTATAACCCTCATCTCTTGCGGCATGCCGTCCGATCGATACGGCTGTGGCTATGGTAAAAAGAAAAGGGACTCGAGATGAAGCCCGACTCATTTCGGGTGGGAGTTCGATAGGAGGCGACAGATGGGAATAAAAAGATCGACCACACCCTAACTTAGATCGTTCATCGGGTGGAGCAAGCCATCTTCGACATTGATGTGCTCAAACCCGTGGTATGGCTGGACGTTGTGCACTATCGAGTGCGCACTGACAATGGCATCGATACCGGAGCAGCGGAAGAGTGGCCCGTACGGTTTTGTCGATAGATCGTGGCTTGTGATGGTGTTTTTTTCGAGGCTTGAGGAAATTTGAAGCTGCGAAGTGCTCAGATAATGTCTCTATCTGAGCAAACTAGAGGAAATGGGAGTTGCTATCCTTATTAGGTAGGTAGGAAGTTGTTTCCCATCTCGAAGGTGGAGAGTTCCTTCTGAATCCTGGCACCTTGTTTAATGTGTAGGACGGGAGGAAACATGGGCTACAGTGTAGACAGGGGCCAAATACCCGGATACAGCAAATGGCCAGCAAGTACAGACTGGGAAGGGTGAACTTCCCAAGCCGTTCATGGCAAAATCTTCTCAGCGCAAATCGAAAGTTTCATCTTCCCAAAGCAGCATGTTCTTCTCCCTGTAAAAGAAAGAAAGGAAAAAACCCTTCCCCTTATTCAAATAACCTTGTTGCTTGCCCTATTGTTAGTACTTAGTTTAGACCCGGCTAGATCCGATCTATTATCCACCCCCGGAATCAATCAAGATCCTTCACGCTAATCCGTTACGATCCCTCTACCACAATCCGGACTGTGCCTTGACTCGAGATTGGCCGCCGGACAGTAAATTGGGACAGCTAGGGAATCACCACGCGTGCATGATTCACCTGACTCGGCAGGAATTGGAGATCCAATGGCGGCATTGTGGCGGGTAGGTTTTCCCGAAACCACGGTTCAGTTGCCATCCCGTCTAGCAAAACAACTTTCCGACATCCTGGTGGCGAATAGCTCCAGATATCTTCCCAATAAGAGCATTTCAGGCTGGGGTTTTGTAACTTGAGCACAGTTCGCAGAATAGCATCCGCGGTCTTGAGCCTCAGGTGTTCTTCGGCCTTCATTGATCAGTGCAGGAAGACACCTCCTGTGTGCAACGAAGAAGACTAGCATTATCAGGATTGGTCGATCTCGACACACCTGCCCTCTAGTGTCGATAGCTCGAAGCTTATTTATCATAGGCTGCCAGAAATCCAAACGACGCTTTGTGCTGAAGATTGTCTTGTTCATCCGCTGCTGGACTACCGTTGGTCTGGTTGTGGCCCGGGATAATAATTTAGCTCACATCACACCAGCAGATTCACGGCATCGGTTTCGAGATCACATGCGTCACACAAGATTCACCAACCACTACCAACATATTGGGTGTAAGCTCCCGATGAAACCCAAGAAAGTTTACATTTATGCAATTCAATGGCTCCAGCATGTTGTTTATGGTGGGAGCAAGTGACCTTCTAAGTTCTGTCTGAAACATGGAAATCAAGGGTGCTCAACAAACATTTCCCACGTCAGCGTCATTGTCTTATTTCCAATTGATACTTCCGTCATGAGGATCAGAAATTAATCAATCCGCCAAGATCCAATTCGTTGCAACGACGATATTTGGGCAACTAAGCTCTTTGCCATTATCCAATTCGTCAAGCTGCGGCGGCAATTGTGCCTCCAGAAAGTCATAGCCTGTTTGGCTGTTCTTCCCATTTTTGGGTTCCAACAGTCCTTGTTGTTCTTATAGGGGTGTCGGAGCATATCACAAAGCCCCGTTGGTATGTGCTGACTCTAACTAACAGGGCTGGTTCGTACAGTCCCTGATGATCTACTCCGTACCATGGCAATGCACCGAAAAGGCTATCGGGTTGCATTCCCCAACTGCCTCTGGGTCCTTTACTCTTTACCTGTGGTGCCAGGCTATTGGAGCCAAGCCCTTGGTTCGGATTCTAAACTGACCGAATCAGATCCTATTGTTATACCCGATACTGAACCTGGGCGCTGTGTTGCAAATGTCTTCAAGGATCGTCGTTGAGTGTTGACTTTTGTGAACATCGAGCGACTGATTATTCATTGATGGATTATGAAGTTGTTCACTACCATATGCTGACAGACCTTAATCAAGACTTTCAGAAGACCTCTACTTTATCACGTCTCGATTTCGTATAAGGGTGTATAAATCATAAAAGGTATCATATGTAAGGTAGGTATCTACACTCTCGGATGAGCCGCCGAAAGTGATCATTAGCCACGATCATCGTGAGCAAACCCTCATGTGCGATCGACCAAAGAAACGCCTTGCCATGCTTCCCATGTGTGTCCATACTGAAATCCAAGTTATCATTCCTCAGTCCGAACGCCGATCCCGAACATTCTTTTCCTTCCCAACGGTTCACAAATGCATGCAAGGGACCTTCTGCCCCTGATCAACTCAAAGTGTGAAGCCTCTCGATCTCCAGTTCTCAGCCCTAAACTCATATCGCCGGTAACATAAATCTCCCGGCACCTCCGCGCTACTCACTAGCTTCCCCGTTGGCTTTCATGATTTTCGAAGGCTTGAGCGCGGGTGCGGATTCGAAACCTATCCCGAAGCCTCGCCGCAAATCGTGCACTTTGGCCCTGCGACTCGCCATCGACCGCTTCAGCCACATCTGTTGTCTCTTGGGTGCTATTTTCATTATTTTCCGCCCGCATCTGCCTTAATGCTTCCATTTGTTCTTCCACGGTCCCCTCTCGAAGGCGGTTAATATCGAAAAGTCTCGACAGACGGTTACGGTGAGATGACTGAGGCGCATCGTTCTCAGCACCCTCCATTGCCAAAGGTGGCGGCAGTGTGCTAGAGTCGCCAACATCCGCCTCCCCAGATGCATGGCCCTTGCCTGGTCGTAGATCATACCGGCTAATAACGTGTTAGTATACATCAAGATCAGATCATTTCTCAAGGGTGTAACTCACCACAATGGACACGTGCCAGATACATTAACCAGCCATGGATCAACACATGCCGGATGGTACTGATGCTTGCAGGGCAACACTCGAACATCTTCACCAACCTTAAAGTCTTCCGTGCAGATAGAGCATCCTAAGTGGTCGCTTGTCTCGTCTTCGGCACTCTCGGGAGAAGACGATGCCCTAGCCGCGGCTGGTACGGCATTGGTCTCCCCACCCGGTGCCGGAGCCGCGTCAGATCGTCTGGCCTCACTGAGGCGTGACGCTGTTCGCTGTGTGGCAGCATCGTTCCCTTCCGTGTTTTCCAATTCCAATTCGGGGTCTGGCTTTGTTGGCGTCTGGTTTCCAAATTTGACAATTGGGATAGTATCCAGTACAGCCCGAGCAAGTCCCTTGGCCCGACTCTGCCGTGGCCGCCCGCCAAGTGCACCTCGCGGCCCGTATCTTTCAGGATATCGGTGGGCTCTCACAGCGCCTGTCGTGATGATGACCAAAAAGAGCAGAGTAATCAGGCCAGTGATGGCGTACAAAACACTCATGGCAGCCGTGTTACCTCCTCCCTTACTCTCATCCTTCGGAATCGTGTTATCCGTGTTGTTCCCAAAGATACTCGCTTTAACCTCTTCACCACGACTGGTGCCGTTCAACAGGTTCAGGGCTTGTGTGGCCTCCCCTCCATCAGCCATAGACAAGATGCTCGTAAAGGGAAGTTTTTCAACTGGGTCGATGGCACACCATGTATTGGACGTAGAATACAGGACTATTGCCCTGAGATGAGGATCAAGTTGCATTAATGTGTTGAGCATCTTATTGGGGCTGAGAAAAGAGTCGCCTTTGGGCTCGTCGCATGATAGATAGGCGATATCGTCTTTATTATTTACTTTATTGTAATTTGAGGAGTCTGTCGCAATCATGTTGCCCGTGATATGGATAATCTTTCGAATAGTTATTAGCATTTAACAAGGGAACAGTGCAGAGCCAAGACGTACATCTATGACTCGACCTGTGGAATCGTTTAGTCCCAAATTCGGCGTAAGAGGGATCACAGCAAACTGCAACCCAGGGTTCGCCGACAACGAGAGTTGCATGCCGTTGATTGTGGCCCATTCGGGGATTTCGGTTTCGGCCCACGTAGAGACTTCAGTGTCATCGGCATGGACATCTGTAAGAGTGCAGGCTAGAATGGAGATGAAGAGTGCCATCCTGCCTGTACTAATTATCGTCGAGAATCTCATGATTGTGGTTTTATGGCGGTGATGTCAAGGGAAGGAGGTGTATCGAATAATGGCGGTTGTAGCCGACAGCGAGGCTGGAAACTAGGCTCTATGCGTAAAGTATCGTGTGTTGTCGTCGATTTTGAATACGTAGGAATAAGGCAGATACGGTTTAAGTCATCGCCAGTTGACGTTTAGATGGAAGACGACATGTCGGTTGTGAATAGCATGTGCCGGTCGCAATTCTCCTGCACTACACTTATCTCGTATTTGTATTGCGGTTTCGTTTTCGGTAGGGTTCCGCGGGTTGAGTTGAACAGAGTTGAATTTAAGTTAAATTGATGATGGAGGGAGAAACGGGAGCAGTATTCAATCCATCACAACATCCTGCCCATGATGGACCCGTCGGGTCCCGTATCGAGGTGGAGCCCACCCGAAAAAGTTCCCGGGCGCCCGCTGACAAGCGGCGATAGAGGGGAACGGCAACTTCCAACCACTGGAAACGCAGCGTTTTGGCTCAATCAAGCCACTAAGAGCTCACTACTGCCCACTACAAGCTTGGCAATTTTTCAGAGCCAACTTTACTGGAATCTGTGTCATCAGTGTCGTTTCGTAGACGTTAATAAATGATGACAACTTGCTCGTTTCACTTGCTGATTGCCTAAGCTATATATATGACGAATATCTCAACAGATATTCATTTCATTAAATCACTTCGATTGCGATTAAGAATATCCATCCATTCCGAAAATGTAAAGGCGTCTGTATTAGCCAAGCTCTTGGCCAACGTGATCGCGTGAGGGGAAGCTGGCATGGATGATATCTTGGTCTTGTTAGCCACGTTGGATGTTGTTACCCTACATATTCTTGATTTATAGTTAAAGCTTACGAGATATTCTAAATCTTCTAAATAGCGGGACTATCCAACATCTATTTCTAGTATACTAGGATTCATTACTGACATGGCAAATGTTTCACTGAATGATTACTGCTTAAATAAACTTTGTTGTGGTTACTGATGTGAGAGTTCAAGACATCAAGAGGAAATTGATACAAGCCCGTCAACTCTTCGTTCATGTCTTGACCGTTGTAGGCAACCCGTTCATATACTCAGAGGGATATTATGAACTACTTAATCACGATATCAATATATTTAAAGTGATATCATAAGACAGAAGGTGATCAGAGAAAGATACGCATCATGGCAAACCACTCAACGTTCTATTATTACCCATTGTCATATTGAACAATTGAGAATGTCGAAGTAAGAGGAAATAGGATAATATGATGTGACGAATTTAGTCATTTGATTAAATGCATTTCAGTGACTATTTCATCGCTCATCGGCATTCATGGTTGGGTTAATGCTGGGTTATCAGCACTTGAACTAAGTACATAACCAATGTTCAGTTCTTGAATGTAGTCCTAACCCCTGTTGAGGTTTCAAAATTAAGTTAAAACACTACGAGATAGGCTTTCAATCGTCATGAGTGCCGTTTGTCAGCTGAGAGGAATGTTATTTTGCCACTTAACACTACTTAGGTTTTTCAGCATTCTAATAACAAAATAGAGGGTATGAGATATTAGAAAAGATGGCATTTATATAATAGTGATATAGTAGATGAATAAAAGTCCTGATATATCTGAGGTCTAACCCTGCTTTTAATAAAATACTAATATTAATATTATAACTTTAATATGAAGGTTGATCTAGCTGCTGAGATGTAACTGGTATTAGTACTGCTTAGTTAAGGCAGCAATCGCGTCATTGAGGCAGATAAACCTTATCTGATTCTGACTTCTGTGATGATGGCCTGCTATCTCCTAAGAGCTCAAGGGGCTCCAACCAGGTTACTATAAGGGGTCAGGGCCAATTAAAATACATTAAATAAAAGGTACCTCTTATGCTACCTAAATTATATAATAATAGAAATACTAGCAGGTCTAATTATTATAAATCGGTATATTATATCTCTTATAACTATACCTAGTCTGCTAGCTATAATGCCTTTTTTTTATATTATTATTAATTTTAATAAAAGTATACTTTTTTAAACCTTTTAACCTTATTTACCCTTATTAAAAGCCTTAATAAGCTAGGTATTTTAAATAATAGCTATAATAAATATAATTAATACTTTAATTTATATATTTTTACTATTTTTTTTTTAATTATTAATATCTTCTTTAGCCCCTAATTAATAAAGCTTTTTTACTTAACTTTTTTAATAATATATATTAAATAATATGTTTAATAAGCGGGTAAGATAGATAAGCAGGTAAGACACTTTTCATTACCTATAAGATAAAATCACTCTTAAAAATACCACAATCTATTAGATTAATTAGAATTAATTGCTATACTCTTCCATATTAACTTTAATTTCCTCCTGATAGGTCCTTGCATTATGCCCGGCCTTGCCGCAAGTTCTACAGTGCCAAACCCTTAGCTAACCTGAACTTCCTTAACTACCACTTCTTAATAACTTAGCCACTACCTGCATATTAATATCTATCTAATTAATTACTTATAATATATCCTTTATAATTAAAGGCCCTCCTTTCTATATCTTATTTCTTTTCCCTCTCTAGTGCCGGCTTACTAACCTATTTGCTTATTTAAGTTATTAAACCCTTTCCTTTAATATAGATATCTTATATAAAAAGGTTCTATATCCCTTTTTAAAATACCTAATAGCTTTAAGTATTAACTCTAGGGAGCTGCTCTTGTAATAGATAATCTATACTTTTAGGTATTTGGAATGTAATTAGGCCTCTAGTACTGTCTTTGGGGTCCTTAAAGCCCAAGGGGTTAAAGGTGCCATGACCTCTATAGGAGGCATTGGGGTCCATAACTGCATATCTATCTTTAAGATGATATTTTCTGGGTTAAGGGGAGCAAGCCTGGCTCCTCTAAACCCTCTAAGGATATTACTTTCTGTAATAGTAGCTAGGTAGGCGGCATAAAAGGCAAGAAAGAACTTAGTCTTAGAGATATGGGTTATAGAGCATCTGATTAGATGCTCTATTTCTCGCCTATAAGCCTTTTTTAGTAGCCTAAAGTATCTAACATTAAGAGGCTAGAGTAGATAAGAGGCATAAGCAGGCATATAGAGCGTAATAATCTTATTCTCCTTATAATATCTTATAAATTCGGCTGAATAGTGGCTTTTATGACTATCGAGGATTAAGAGATAATAAGAACCAACCGATCAGTCCTTTATTAATCGATCAAAATGCTTAAGCCAGTTAAGGCCTAGCTAGTTATTAGTCCATCTATTTTCGCTTAATACAATAACCTAATCGCCAGGTAGGTCGCATTCTTAATACTAATTAGCAAGGTAATATTAGCCTGAACTAATAATAAATAGCGCGATCGATTGGCCTTCTGCATTAATCGCCTTAATTATAGTAATCTATTTATAATTTCTAGGCTATACCTTTTTAGGTCTTCTATGCCTTTCTAAGCTTATAACAACCATCCCGGACTTAATTATACCTATTATAAAGCCGGTCTTATTAAAGTTCTATATATTAATTAACTAAATACCGTATTTTGCAATTATATTCTCTATAAGGCAAAACCAGTTATAAATAATAGTTAGATCTTTACATTTAGCTCTCTAATAGTTATACCTCCGAAATTAATATATCTTAAGCTCTAGTTACTATTAGATAAAGTTATAAACCTAGCATTTACTAATAGGTAATGCATTATGGTTGGCAAGTAGAGAATTAGCTATTTTTTCTATAAAATCGCGCCGAGGGGGAAATCCTTACAAATCTAGGTTAAGGATAAATTAAACTATTATCTGCTCCTTTAGATTAGATAGATTCTGTAACTTTATAGTAGTACTATATATTAATTGAATTCTATCCTAGCGGCGACCTAAGGTGCAGTAATTAACTTGATATATAGTTGCTGCCTTTTGGATACTTAATTTTAGGTCGTTTTGAAGGGCTTAAAGTGCTAGAAGGATCCTAGCCTTATATAAAGACTCTGATATTTTGTATTCTTAATAAATATTAAATTAAATAGTAATAATATAAGGTGAGGGATTTTTATCTTACCTGCTTATCTGTCTTACCTGCTTATTAAACACGTTAAGGTATTTAAAATATAAATTTACTAATTCTCTTATAATTTATATCTCTTTTAATTTAGCTAAGGATTATATAATTAAAGGATATAGCTATTAATAAGTATAATATTAAAAAAGAAGGTTTAAGTTAAAGTCTACTAAGCCCCTTAGTACAGGGGGTAATTATAGCTTAAATATAACCTTAATTAGTTATCTTAGTTAATATAATTTATTTTATTATTATAAGTAATAGCTATTATTAAAATAAAAATAACTTTAATAATTTCTTTATTAAAAAATAGCTATATTAACTAGGCTTATTAATAATTTATAAATAGCTTTTTTTTTCTTATTAATATACTTATTACCTTAAAAGATAGTTATAATAAAAAGTATAAGGCTATTATCTTTTTAAGCTAGTTAATTAATTTAAAAAAAAGGGAAAAAGATAAATTAATAAGGGAAATATATAAAAAAATATTATAGCTTTTTATTAAATTACTTATTAATAAAATAAACTTAACTTTATTAAAGATATAGTTATAATTCCTTAATTTATTAAATACCTTATTTCTTTTTAAGTCCTTATATATATTATAATTAAGGCAGGCTATACTTATAGCCTTATAGCTATAATTATAAAGCTTATAAAAAAAGATAATATTAAGAAAAGGTTATTTATAAAATTATAATATAATTTTTTTTTTTTTTTTTAAAAATTTATAAGTTAGCCTTAAAAGGTATAACTAAATATTTCTAAAGTCTAATATAGTTTAAATATTTATTACCCTTATAGCTAATAAAGCTTTATTAAGTTAAATTATTATAGTTAGCTGCCTTAATTGCAGCCTAAACCTAGCTACATATATGCCAGCTAAAAAGCCCTGCTCATCAGCTGGCCCCAACCTTCTTCCTACAACCCACCTGAAAGGCACGCTTCAATCACCCATCACGCTTCCGCTTCAAGGTCAGCCAAAGCCTGTCTATAAGAGACCGCGCCGCAAACTCACCAGTAAGTCATCCGACCCGACTTTCCCTCTTCTGACCGCAACCGCTAACAGCATCACAGCTGCACCGTCACGATGCCTGTCCGAAGAAGCCTGCAGCCACCCGATAAGGCCTTTTATACTAAAATGCCTGACCTAATCCCTTATTTTATAGCAGCTCTTAAAGACTATAAATATAAGGATAAGCTCTATATTATAATAATAGAGATTAGAAAGATTTAAGATAAAGAAGATAATATTACCTTTATTAAGTAAGCTATTTTAAGCTATAAGGTCCTCTTACTTATATATTATTATTATAAAAAGCTAATAATCTTTAAAGGCTACCTTAAGGAAGAGATTAAGTTATTATAAAAGCTAGAGTAATCCCTTATAATAAGAAGGCTTATAGAGGTAAATAATAAGGAATTTATTAAAGACCTTAAATTAAGGACTATTAAGAACTTATATAGATATTAGCTTAATAATATAAAGAAATAGTTAATAGAACTAATAAAGGCTATAAAGCTAATTAATAGCTAGTAAAGACTAGGCTAGTTATAGTCTTAAATTATAAGAATATAATTAAGATAAGGGAGATAGTATACTGTAATATTTAAGATAGAAGTAGGGTAATTATAGGGTTTTATAGAAGAAATATATTAAGTTTTATATAAGTTTAATTATCTAAAGTTAAAGACTTAAAGTTATAAATTTAATATTAGCAGTAAAAAGAGGATTAAATAAGTTATAAAATAAATTATATAACTAAATAAGCAAATTAGCTATAATATTAATATATTATTAATATAAATAGGGGATAATATATCTATATTAATAATAACTTATATAAGAAAAGAATAATATTTAATATATTATTTAATAATAAAAAAGAAGCCTCTTTATTACTTACTTACTTTCTCTTTTTTAAGAGGTTATAGCTGCCTTCCTTTTGCCTTAATTCCTTATTTATTATATTATAATTTAAGCCTTTATAATATAAAAGCTATTAAATAAAAAAGCCTACTTAGGCAATAACTTAAATCCTAAAGCCTAATAAGGTTAGCTTTCTATTAATAAGGGTTATTATTATTAATCTGCCTATATAATAGATTATATACTTATTTATAATAAGATAAGAGCCTAGTTAAAAGAATATAATTAATACTTTTTATATATAATTAAATTACTTTTTAATAGCTTAAAATACCTTTAAAAGAGGTAAATTTTTATTAACCTTAATATAATTAAAGAGATAAAGGTAATAATAAATTAACTAAAACCTTTAATAAGGTATAAACTTAATAACTAAATATAAAAGGGCTTATTTTCCTAACTAGGGGGCTTTTTAATAGCTTTAAAGCTTCCTTTTTTTTATAAATTCTTATATAGATTAGTATATTAAGCTATATATAAATCTATATAATAAAGGCCCCTTTTTAAGCTAGGAGCTATAACTATTTATAAAGTAAGTTATTTTAGCTATTAATTATATTATTTTTAAATAGGTAATAAATCTAGTTATTAATATATTTAATTTATTATTAAAGTAGAAATTTAAGTATAAAAAGCTAAAAAAGATTAAGTAGTATAATAAGTAAATAATTAATATAATAATTATAATATTATATAATAAAAGGGTTAAAATTAAAATTAAAACTATAAGATTTATTAAGTAGAAAATTATTAACTTTAATAGCCTCCTTAAGGTCTATATAAGGGCCTTTATATTACTTAAAGAAGCTTTTATTATTATAAGAATTAACTTCTTATCTTTAATTATAATTTAAAGATATATTTATTATTTTAACTATAATTAATTATATAATAATTTAGCTATAAAAGGTTAGAAATTAAAGCTTTTAGTACCCTGCTTATATTAAGATAAAGTAGGGCAGGGTATGGTTTAGAGCCCTTTAAGCTCTTAGGAAATAGGGGTTTTATTATTTAAACTATTAATAGAAAAGCTAAAAAGCTTAATAGCCTTATATAAGGCTAAAGGTAAGGGGAAAAAAAATAAAAAAAATATTAATTAATATTAATTTTATTAAATTAGGCCTTTTTAATATTTATAATTATTATATATAATATATTACCTTTCTTTAATTTAAACTATTACTTTTTTATTAATTTTACTTTATATATTTTTATATATAAAGTTAATTAATTAAATTTTTTTTTCCCCTTACCTTTAGCCTTATATAAGGCTATTAAGCTTTTTAGCTTTTCTATTAATAGTTTAAATAGTAAGACCCTTATAGCAGGCTATTATTATAGAAATTAGAATTAAATAAGGTTTATTTGCCTTAATAATATAATTATTACCTTAATTAAGCAGTACTAATACTAGTTATATTTTAGTAGCTAGATTAACCTTCTTTCTTTAACTTATTTAAAGGACTATACCTTAATTAACTTTTATAATATACTATACCTAATTTATCTATTATAAAGTATATTATTTAACTTAACTTTCCCTTTTAACCCTTTTTATTAATAATATAATAGCTATTCTACCTTAATATTATAAAATAGCTTATAGCTATATAATTATACTTATTATATAACTAGCTATAATTTTAATTTAGCTATTAGGCCTGCCTTAAAGGCAGTTAATAAAAAAGAACTCTATATAATATATATAATAATTATTACTATTATAAAAAACTTCTTATTAAAAGGTAAATTTAACCTTATTAAAATAGCTATTTTTAATTATAGCCTAATTTAATTAACTAATTATATAAAAGAGAAATATTATATTAATTTAATTAATTTAAATTAAATTAATAATAAGCTATTAAGTCTTAAAGATTTAAAAATAGCCTTAAAGGAAGGTTATTTTCTTTAATTAAATAAGGTAGCTTTTCTTACTGCCTTTATAAGTAACTTAGCTATATATAAAGAGTAGCTCTTTAATATATCTATAAGGGCAGTTAATATTACTAGAGAGCTGCTCTTAAATTAGTAAAGAGTTAGATAAACATAAGGTAAAGGCAGGGTTTAGAAATTCTATTAAAATTAGAATTAAAGGAATTATATTAAGTTTTATATAAGTTAGTTAGCAAAAGTTAAATCAACCTTAATTAATTAAATGTATATAATAGGGCATATAATTAATTAACCTTATATATAAGAATAGATAAAGTAAAATTAATAAAAAAGCAGTAATTTAAACTAGGGGTTAATTAATTATATACCTTATTATATATATTTAATTAATTAAGGTTAATTTAACTTTTACTAACTAATTTATATAAAGTATACTTAATATAATTCTTTTAATATATTTTAACTTTAATAAAATTTCTAAACCCTGCCTTTACTTTATATTTATTTTAAAACTTTATATATAAATTTTCCTTATTAATTTAAAAGTAGCTTTTTAATAATATTAGCTGCCCTTATAAATATATTAAAAAGCTACTCTTTATATATAGCTAAGTTATTTATAAAGGTAATAAAGAAAACTACCTTATTTAATTAAAGAAAATAACTTTCTTATAAAGCTATTTTTAAGTCTTTAAAACTTAATAGCTTATTAATAACTTAATTTAAATTAATTAAATTAATATAATGCCTTTTTTTTATATAATTAATTAATTAAATTAAATTATAATTAAAAATAATTACTTTAATAAGGTTAAATTTACTTTTTAATAAGAAGTTCTTTATAATAATAATAACTATTATATATATTATATAAAGTTTTTCTTTATTAGCTATTTTTAAAGCAGGTTTAATAGCTAGATTAAGATTATAATTAATTATATAATAAGTATAATTATATAGCTATAAGCTATTTTATATAAGTATTAAGGCAGTATAGCTATTATGTTATTAATAAGAAGGGTTAAAAGAGGGAAAATTAGGTTAAATAATATACTTTATAATAAATAAATTAAATATAATATTCTTTTAAATAGGTTAAAGGAAGAAGATTAATCTAGCTATTAAGATATAATTAGTATTAATATTACTTAATTAAGGCAGTAATTATATTATTAAGGCAGATAAACCTTATTTAATTTTAACTTTTATAATAATAGCTTGCTATAAGGGTTTTACTATTTAAATTATTAATAAAAAAGCTAAAAAGCTTAATAGCTTTATATAAGGCTAAAGGTAAGGGGAAAAAATATTACCTTTATTTATATTTTATTTAAAAGTTTTTTTAATTTTAAGGATTATATTATGGCCTTTAGTTAAATAAGGCTTATTAGGCTTAAATACCTATAGGCTTTTTTAAATAGGTATTATAATAAGGTAGTTATAATACTATTAGTAATTATAGCTAGAAGTAAAAGTTAAGTTAAATAACTTATTATATAATAGATAATTATAATATAATATATAACAGAGGTTAATAAAAAACCTTTTAGATAGATTATTAGAAAAAGGTTAAGGCTAGCTAATAAGTAAATAAGGCTTTTTAGCTAGTATATATATAGCTAGGTTTAGGCTATAATTAAGGCAGTTAATTATAATAATTTAACTTAATAAAGCTTTATTAGCTATAAGGGTAATAAATATTTAAATTATATTAGATTTTAAAGATACTTAAATATATCTTTTAAGGCTAACTTATAAACTTAAAAAAATTTAAAAATTTAAAGAGCAGTAACGCCTAAACCAGAGAGGAGGGAGGTCCAAAGAGATATGTATTTGTTTGGATATGTACTGGGTGAATATTCCGGTGAAATGATTAGTCCTGGGGAAGCCATTTGCAGACGGTAATATTACCATTTATCAGCATTCAAGATGCCGGTATCGAGAGTAAACACCTGGAAGGGCTCCAGTGCTATACTATATTTCAAAGCAACCCGATGGCCGGAAGCTCAGGGGTTATACATGTTTAAGAATAAGCAGTGAGTAATCAGATATCCTGCTGTAATTATCACTTTAATTCTCAGCCGAGTTATGAACGATATGGAACATCAACTTTTACCCTGAGGATGCGTGGAAGTATATCCATAGTACAGTATAGTACTTGGGATGTTTAAACAAGTGTGACATGACTGTCAGTCGTGTAGTTGATGAATGTGATCCTACTTCACACTTTTCAGAGACGTTCAATAGATCATATTACCAGCAATACCGGTACCATCATACTATTTCCGCTCGACATTTATAAATAATTAGAGTCGACTTATACAGGCATGATCTTGTGCTTTTATAATAGAAACATAATGTCAACAGAAAGATGAAAAGGATGTCCTGCTTTTGGATGGTGCTGTGGTCTCCTCCTGTAATAGCAAGTCACTGGAGAGATATAACTATAATCAGAGAGCCTACCTGTAAGAGTTCAGTAGGACACAACTTAATTACTTAAAATGCATGAAATACATGTTATCGAGGAAGTAGACATAGTTAGCATTCAACAATACTGATACCCACCCTACACCCTACAACACAATCGAGGTCTTGTATCCGGCACAACTCAGCAAATACATCACTTAAAATGACCGCAAAAGTTTTACAACACTTCTTAAGCTTCCTGTTGAGTATATAAGAACAGCTATATAATAACTATTGTTGATGGAATAAGGTTGCCGAGCCGTTGCTGCACGATTTCACGGATGGGGAATCGTGTTAC